AAAGAATTCACTCCAAAATCTAATATCTGAATTCAGCAAAGTTGCAGGATACAAAATTAATACACAGAAATCTGTGGCATTCCTATACACTAATAATGAACTAGCAGAGAGAGAAATCAGGAAAACAATTCCATTCACAACTGCATCAAAAAAAGTAAAATACCTAGGAATAAACCTAACCAAGCAAGTAAAAGACCTATAACCTGAAAACTACAAGATACTCTTAAGAGAAATTAAAGAGGACACTAACAAATGGAAACTCATCCCATGTTCTTGGCTAGGAAGAATTAATACTGTCAAAATGGCCATCCTGCCTAAAACAATCTATAGATTCAATGCAATTCCTATCAAAACAGTAACAGCATTCTTCAATGAACTAGAGAAAATTGTTCTAAAATTCATATAGAAACCACAAAAGACCTCGAACAGCCAAAGCAATCCTGAGAAGGAAGAATAAAGCTGGGGGGATTATGCTCCCCAACTTCAAGCTCTACTACAAAGCCACAGTAATCAAGACAATTTGGTACTGGCACAAGAACAGACCTTTAGATTAATGGAACAGACTAGAGAGCCCTTATATAAACTCAACCATATATGGTCAATTAATATATGATTAAGGAGCCACGGACATACAATGGGGAAATGACAGCCTCTTGAACAGCTGGTGTTGGCAAAACTGAACAGCTACATGCAAGAGAATGAAACTGGATTATTGTCTATTCCCGTGCACAAAAGTAAACTCGAAATGGATCAAAGACCTGAATGTAAGTCATGAAACCATAAAACATAGAAGACAACATAGGCAAAAATCTCCTGAATATAAGCATGAGCAACTTCTTCCTGAAGGCATCTCCTCAAGCAAGGGAAACAAGCAAAAATGAACTCATGGGACTACATCAAATTAAAAAGTTTCTGTATGGCAAAGGACACCATCAACAGAATAAAAAGACATCCTCCAGTATGGGAGAATATATTTGTAAATGACATATCCGACAAGGGGTTAACATCCAAAATAATAAAGAACTTACATGCTTCAACACCCAAAAAGCAAATAATCCAAATAACAAATGGGCAAAGGATATGAAGAGACACTTCTCCAAAGAAGAAATTCAGGTGGCCAACAGACACATGAAAAGTTGCTCCACATCGCTAATCATCAGGGAAATGCAAACTAAAACCATAAGGAGACATCACCTCACACCAGTAAGGATGGCCAGCATCGAAAAGACTAAGAACAACAAATGCTGGCAAGGATGCAGAGAAAGGGGACCCCTCCTACACTGCTGGGGGGAATGTAAGCTAGTTCAACCATTGTGGAAAGCAATATGGAGGTTCCTCATAAAACTAAAAAGAGAAATACCATTTGACCTGGGAATCCCACTCCTTGGAATTTACCCAAAGAATACAACTTCTCAAATTCAAAAAGACATATGCACCCCTGTGTTTATCACAGCACTATTTACAATAGCCAAGATATGGAAGCAACCTAAGTGTCCATCAGTAGATGAATGGATAAAGAGGTGGTACACATTGGAATACTATTCCATATACACAATGGAATACTATTCAGCCATAAGAAAGAAACAAATCCTACCATTTGCAACAACATGGATGGAGCTGGAGGACATTATGCTCAGTGAAATAAGCCAGGTAGAGAAAGACAAGTGCCAAATGATTTCCCTCATTTGTGGAGTATAACAATGAAGGAAAACTGAAGGCACAAAATACTAGCAGACTCAGCAACTCCAAGAAGGAACTAGTGGTTACCAAAGGCGAGGGGTGTGGGAGGAGGGATAAGGGGATTGAGGGGTATTATGTTTAATACACACGGTGTTGGAGGGGTCATGGGGAGAATGAGTATCACAGAGAAGGGACGTAGTGGATCTCTGGCAACTTGCTGCACTGATGGACAGTGACTGCATTGGGGTGTGGGTGGGGACTTGATAATATGGGTAAATGTAGTAACCACATTGTTTTTTCATGTGAAACCTTCATAAGAGTGTATATCAATCATACCTTAATAAAAAAAAAGGTCACATTTAAACAAAATGGAAATCATGGGGACAGATATACCAGAGATAAAAGAAAAAATCAATGAAGTTGAAAACAGAAAAGAGAGAAAATGAAATGAAAAGCTGATTCCTTGTGAAGGTCAATAAAACTGATGAACCTCTCATAGGTTGACAAAGAAAAAAAGACACATAAATTACTAATATCAGAAATGAAAGAGACAATATCAGTATAAATCCTGCAGACATTAAAAAGATAGTAAGGTAATACTATAAACAGTTTCATGCACTGAAACTCAATGACTTAGATGAAATGAATTACCTTCTTAAAAACAAACTACCAAAACTCATCCAAGATGTAATAAAAAACCTGAATAAACAAACCAGTTAAAAAAATTGAAATTTGTAATTAAAAATATTCTGAAAAAGAAATCTTCAGGCTCAGATAGGTTCATTGGTGAATTTACTAAATACAATTTGAAATATACAATCACTTTAAAAATTAAATATTTAGGTATAAATCTAACAAAACACATACACGGTAAAAACTTTAAAACACTGATGAAAGAAATCAAAGATGACCTAAATATACAGAGACATGCTGCATTCATGGATTGTGAAAATTAACAAAGGTGACAGTCCAATCAAAATCCTAGAATTTATTCCATAGCTACACAAAAGCCACTTCTAAAACTCTCCATATAAAGGAACTGAATAGATAAAACAGTTTTGAAAAAGAAGAATGTTGAATCAAATTATTTGATTTTTCAGACTTACTATAAAATTACCATTACCAAGACTGTGGTATTGGCGAAGAATAGATAAACAGGTCAATGGAACAGAATAAGTCTAGAAATAGATTCGCACAAATATGGCCAATTGATTTTTGACAAAAACACAAGTGCAGTTCAATGAAGAAAGGACAGCGTTTTCAAAAAATGATGTCAGAACAACTGTAAAATTGTTCTATATGCAAAAAAAAGATACACATCTCAGACCTTATACACAGTGTAACTCAAAACTGATCATAGATCTAAATGGAAAACCATGAAACTTTCAGAAGAAAAATTTGAGAAAATCTGTATGACCTTGGGTTTGGCAATGAGTTCTCAGACATGGTACCAAAAGCACAATCAATTTTAAAAAACTGATAGTTTGGACATTCTCAAAATTAAAAACTTTTCCTCTACGAAAGACACTGCCAAGAAAATGAAAAGACATGTAACAGACTAAGACGACATATTTGTAAATCACATATCTGATAAAAGACTTACATCCAGAATACGTAAAGAATTTCCAGAACTCAACAATCAGAAAACAAATAACCCCATTTAAAAATGCTCAAAAGACATGAAGAGACACTTTTCCAAAGGGGATAAATGGATGACAAAGAAGCACATGAAAAGATGTTCAACATCATCAGCCATTAGGGATACGAAAATCAAATTAAAGCCATGAGATACCACGACATACAGGATGGCAAAAATAAAAACACTTATCAAGGACAGGGAACAACCAGAATGTTCATCCACTGATGATGAAAATGCAAACATGGTACAACCGCTTTGGAAAAACAGTTGGGCAGTTTCTTGAAAGGTCAAACACACACTTACCATAGGACCCAGCAATCCCACTCCTGGGTACCTGCCCTAGAGAAATGAAAACTTCTGTCCACATGTAAACCTATAGCAAGTCTATTCACAATTGCAAACACTGGAAACAACCCAAATATCCTTCAATGGCTGAATGGCTAAAACAATCTGTGGTTCAGAATATAACCTAAAATATAAATATAAGAAGAAACAAACTTTTGATAAACAAAGCAGCTTGGATGAATCTCTAAGGCATCATGCTGAGTGGGAGGAGGCCGACTCCTAAGGCCCTCCCGTAGGGCTGCATCCACACGACGGGCTCAGGCAGCCCTACAGCGGCGCCCCCTCATCCCTGGGGAGTGTGTTCTAAGACCCCAGCGGATGCCTGAAACCATGGAGAGTACTGAACCTTATATATACTGTTTTTTTCCTGTACATACATACCTATGATGAAGTTTAATTTGTAAATCAGGCACAGTAAGAGATTAAGAGCAATAACTAAATGAAATAGAACAATTATCACAATGTGCTATAGTACGTTATATGAATGCGATCTCTATGAAAATATCTTACTGCTCTGTATACACCCTTCTTGTGATGTGAGATGATAAAATGCCCACCGGATACGGAGTGAGGTGAATGGCTTAGGCGCTGGGCCTAGTGTGGGGCTGCTATTGACCTGCTGACAAGCCAAGAGGATGCTCATCTGCTTACAGGTAACGCGAAGTTGACCATGGTAACTGAAACCCCAGAAGAGACTGCAGATGGGGGCCCTACAGCCCAGTGGCAGAGACCGTATTGGTGGCCGCCAGGGGCTAGGGACTGGCAGGAGGGGGCGCCGACAGAGCGGCAGCAGGAGGGAGGTCTTCAAGGCGAAGGAGCTGTTCTGTGTCCTGATTACAGCAATGGGGACACAAATCTGTACGTGGCTACACTTCATAGAAAAAAAGATCAATTTTCCCTCATGATTTAAAAAAAAACGTAACACACATGAAACAATAAAACCGCCACCACCACCGAGCTGCAGGGGAGCGATGTCTTAGGCTCTGTTTTACATGACAACGTATGTTCCCTCAATCTCTAGAATGAGGTCCAACGGACAGTGAGTTTGTAAGCGAGGTTGTCTACGCACAGACCACTTCACTTTCCAACTCAATGCACTGCTTGTAAAAAACCCAAAACAACGAGCACGTACTCATTCTAAATAAGGACAAAAGCTAATGGAGATAAAATAAGCTCGTTGCAGTGAGCAGCCCCAATAGAATTCTGCTGATCTGCTATCCCGCAGAAACGAAATGTGACTCCGGACTTTCCTAGTTTTAAAAGCATAATGGTTTTCATTTCGGTTATGGAGAAGACAAACATTTTAAAAACAGTAAAGAAAAAAATGGCAGCCTACCAAGAGGTTGACGGACTCGATGACGTCTAAGAACACCTCGTTCTTCCGGTACTTGATGCCCTCGGACCGCCAGGACACTGCGTTGGTGACAGTGGCGGGGGGCCTCGGGGCCCCCGTTTCCAGCTTGTGGCCCTCCTGGGTGATGTACCTGAGGGGCCAGAGAGTCAGCTCAGCACCGACACCGTGGTAACAGGCCCTCACCGCAGGAGGCTCTCGGAAGGCAGGCCCTTTCATCAGGGGCTGTTTAATACACGCGCACCTTGTGATTTCTGAACCCCCCGACCAACTCCAGCTACAGCGAGGGCAGCACGTTCACTCGGGAGAGTCCCGGGCAGTGCTGGTGAGGACAAGAGGGAGGCCCGGACTGCTCTTCTGCAGGGCACGCGGGGGCTGGCTCCTTGGGGGGCGACCCCCGGTGCCCCTGGCCCACCTAGGAAACAGCTACGTGGCTTCTCTGGGTGTGCCTTTGCTCCCACGCAAGAGGGGGAGATGGCACCTCAGGCTGGGGCCGGGTGAACGTCAGGTGTTCACACAGGGCCTGCTCACGGAGGTGCCCGATCCACAGGCCGTGGGGGCCGTCCCATCGGAAGGACAGGACTCCAAAGAGGGAAGTTCTTTTTCTCACACCCTCATTTACAGCTCTAAGGCAGGTGATTCCCCAATAAAACGGCGTCTGGTGCCCGTCCGCTACAGGGGCAGCACTCTGGCCAGGCAGGGATGTCAGGTGGGTAAGGCTCTGAAGTGGCCCGGTCAGGGCCCAGGGGTGCCTGGAGATGGGATGGGTGCGGGGCCGTTCGCCCCTCCCGCCTCCGAAGCCGGACCGACACCGCCCAGACCCGGCCCGGCCCGGCCCGCGCACGCACTCCTGCAGGATCTTGCTGTCCGTGGTCTGCGGGAAGCCGAAGTCCATGAGCTCGTCTAGCAGCTCGTAGATGATGACAAAATTGTCGCGGATGCTCTCCTCCTCCAGCTCTTTGAAGTACTCGGAGAACACCTGCGGCGGGTCGGGGGCCGGCAGAGTGCGCGCTGAGGGCGGGATGGGGAGCGGCAGAGTGCGCGCTGAGGACGGGTGGGGTGGGGGAGCAGAGTGCGCGCTGAGGGCGAGGGGGTGGGCGGCAGCCCCCTAGGGCTGGACTCAGGGAACCCGGGCACAGGGCAGCGGAGGCTACCCGCGGGGTGGGAACCAGGCTGGGGGCGGGGCGGGCGTCCTCCGCGGCCCGTCAGAGGTCAGAGGCCTGCCCTCCTCTCCTTCCTGACAGACGCCCGCAGGCCTGGGACCCGCTCGGAGCGCCTCTTCAGTCCTCGCTGTGTTTGTCACCCTTTGCCTCTGAGTCAGCAGTGACTCAGGTAAAGGACAAGAACCACTAGGGGCAGGACAAGTGATTCTTCTGGACTTGTGCGTCCTCCCCTATCTATCTAGCCTGCTTCCCATGCAGACGCATCTCCATTTCAACAGAAAATTAAGACAAAGAAGGGACGCCAAGGGAGAAAAGCTTCATGACCACTAACGCTGAAGGAAGGTCACCAAAGCAGAAGGGAAATGCCGAGCCCCCAGGGAGGAGAACCTACCCCTTCCCCACTCTGATCTGATGTCCTCCCTGCACTCGAGGGCCACAACCGCCAGCCTCTACTCTTAAACCAGGCAGCACAGCCAGGCCTCTGGAATGAAGGCCAACTCCCTAGAAGGCACTGGGGGCCCCCCCGGGAGGACACACTCTCCTGCCCCACAGCCTCACCACCCAAGACCTGTGCCCGTGTCTGGCACAAGTGGCTCCTGAGCTAGCTGCATGAGGTGCCGCCTGAGGGACAACAGCTTTCCAGGGCCCCCCCACCCCGGCCTCCGGGTCCAATTCCCCATTTTCTTTAATCCCAGGGCCCCAGTGTCAGACAGGCCCCTCCATTTTCCTCCTCAAAGCTTGCGGCAACCTCCTCCCTGACCTCCCGGCTGCTTTCAAGTCCTTTCTCTACCCAGCAGCCAAACAGACTACCATACCTCAAATCAGGTCTCATCAGTTTCTTGCTTAAAGCCCTCCACGGCAGCTCATCGTGGCAAATCATCATCAGATTTGGAAAGAAATCTGAACTCACTGGGCCCTGTGCACCACCTCCACCCAGCTGAACACAGCCCCACTGTCGCAGGCATGCTGGCCTGCCTGATGCCCCCTTGCTGTACCACGTGCACTCTCCCCAGGGCCTCTGCATGTGCTGCTCCCATCGCCTCCCCACCTCGCTGTCAGCCTGGGCCTGGCCCGCTGTCAGCTCTCTCCACGGTAGGCCTTGGGCCTGTGCCTTTAGGGCCTCCAAGAGGACTCTGAGCAGACCTCGGCCCTGCCTTCCTCCCTGACTCTTGATGGGTCGCTCTCTACCCTTCCACAGCCAGCGGGGGGCAATTCCTACCTGGATCCCCATCTCCGATTCCCATTCTTCTCACCAGGGCAGAGGGGCAACCGAGGCTGCAGAATCCCACACACGGGGCAGCTGGAGCTTCCCTCTCCCGCTTCCTGAGGTTGCAGCCCCAGAACTCCTAAGGGATGCTGCAGCCCTTGGTGGCCATACGTGGAGGCACCCAGTAGAGCCAAAGCAGTCCCGACACCCCTCTGTGGCCCGACTCACCTGCACCACCTTATAGAGGAAAGAGAACACCAGGGACACGCTCGCGTTCTTCTTGGAGGTGGCAACCACTGTGCGGTGGCCAGTCAAGGAGCGTCCAGCAGCCTAGGCTTCCACTCTGCAGACCCTGGTTTACTGTGTGTCTTGGAGGGCCTCCACCCCCCACCCTGGGCTCAGAGCCTCCCCTGGCCACCCCCGCCAAGCCGTTCACTCGCCCTGGTGGGTTCCTGAGCTCCAGTCTGAGTTAGGCCTGGGACATGGCAGCTACCAGCCACACGTGGTCAGGGCCCCCAGGGAGCGTGCAGCTGACAGGACAGCCGAGGGCACGGGGAAGCCAACCCAACTCCTGGGGTGTGAAGAGGGGACATCTGAGCTGGGAGCCGCAGCCCATGGCGATTAGGGGCCCTGCAAGTGCGGTGAACAGCCCAGAGCAGAGAGGCAGGGCAGCTCACTCCTGGAGCACCTGTTCTATGGGGCCTGACAGTGGATGCTCAGAGATGACATATGTAAAGGTCCTGGCCCGGACTCTCCCTTGCCTCATGGGGTCACCGTGTGGTGGCATTTTCCATCCCTCTTCCTCTAGGGACCTTCAGCCACCAAGGAGGCTGGCTCCCCCACTGCAGGCCCATGCGCCAAGCCCTGGACATCCCCATTCATGCCAAGCTGTGAGCTCCAAGAAGGAGAAAGGGACAGCAGCGGCTGTACCCACCTCATTTCCTGCCTCATCCTGGCTGAGTGCAGGGGCCCACAAGCGTGGGCTTCCCCCGTCCGGCCTGGGCAACATGCCCTCCAGGGGTTTTCTAAGGAGGTGCAGGGGGCACCTCCCACCCTCATGATCCAGGCCACTATCCCTCCCTCCCAGATGCCAAACCTGGCCTCCCACCACTCCGTGCCCACGTGTGCTCCTGGCAGTCCAGCTCCTCAGTGCCCAGAGACCTTCAGAAAATGCAGTTCTGACTCCCCTCTACCTGAACCCTCCAAGGCTTCCCCTCACACCTAATGGGAAGGCCTGTGTACCTGAGTGTGCACCCTGCTGCCCCCCCACACCAGCCCTCCAGTGCTCTAGCCACCCCCACTGAAGCTTCTGGAATGAGCCTCGCCTTCCCCTTGCAGAACCTTCACCTGGGCCCAGTGCTCCTCACACCCACCCCCTCCCTCCTCTGGCTGTGGGGCAGAGGTTGGCTCTGGCCTCCCATCTGTCTCCCTGGCATCCAGCATGTCACCGCCTTAGGGAAGCGTTCCTGGACCCCCAGACCAGATGAGGTCCCACACCACACTTCCATCGTGTGCTTCGTGCCTATGTCCTCAGGCAGTAGTAGTAGGGCCGTGCCTGACGGCTCCCGCTGGGCCTGCTGGGCCAGGGCAGGTGCTGGCAGCTCTTAGCTGCACCTGCATGTGACAGCACGAGACCTCTTGGGGGCTCCCCTGCAGAGGGATACGATACAGGTTGTTATGCTTGATCCACATGAAGCGGACGCCCCCATGGGCCAGGATGGGCGACAGCACGCCCTCTTCTTCCTTCTCCATCAGGATGGGCATGAAGTGCTCCACCTCCGACATGTCCACGTCTCCGCGGTAGTTCCGGCAGATGAGCACCTGGGCAGGGGTTGGAGAAAGGGAAGCTGTTTTCATCTGGAGTCCCACGAGCCGGTGCCTCGGGCAGAGGCAGTGAGAGGTGCCAGCCTTCCTCTCTCCAGAAATCTTGATCATGCCCCTGCCCATCAAAGGAAAAAGACTTGAGGCCATTTCGATCTCCAAGATAAGGGTAATGTATCAAGGAAGCATGTCCCAAAGTGAACTCCACAGGTGCCAAAAGGTTTCTCTGAGGGGAAACACAGGGCAAGGATCCAGCCTGAATCACTCCAGAGAAACCAGGTTAAAACATCCTGCGGGCAATTGTTGCAGACCTTCTCAGAGCCCTTCCTGTGCAAAAGTGCCTGTCAGGATGCCCATTCAAGGGCCACAGCCAAGTGTTCACATCTCCTTAGAGCAACTGTGGCCTGAAAAGGAGAAGCCCTTCTCCTGGTCTCTCCCTTTCACAGTCTGTGCTTTGGGATGCACGGCACCTGGAACTCTGCTCCATTGCTGATGGGGATGTGAAATGGAACAAGCGCTTTGGTGAAGTTGGGCAGGACCTCACCAAAAGAGGTTATGACCTGGCCATTCCTTAGGCATGAAGCCACACGTCCATGCAGACTTGTACACGGAGATTCATTCACAGCTTTATTTTAAATGGACCCAGATCGGAGAGAAACGCCAATATCCTTTAGTAGGTGGGCAGAGACCCAGGCTTGGTCCATCCATATCACATCCATCCTTAGCTGGGAAAAGGAATGACAACTGACATGGGACAGCAGGAGAGGGTCTCAGGGTCACTGGGCCAAGTGAAACAAGCCAGACAACGGAGAGTGTATCCTGCATGAGCCCACTCACATAAAATCTGGCTCATGGGACATGGTGACAGAAAACACATCTGTGGCTGCCTGGGGACAGGCTGGATACAGGGGTGTGAGCAAGCTTAGAGGGTGACAGAATATGCATTATATACAATGACTGAAGTCACTAAACACCACACTTCAAATAAGCCAGTTTGTTACATATACATCACACCTCCTGGAAAGAATAAAAGGACGTTTGAAGCTTTGCTGGCTGGGGCAAGGCTCTATTTGGAGACACTGCCTAGAGCGACTGCCACTCTCGTGGGCCCAAGCGGACAGCCAGCTGCAGGACTCTGTGACGTGCCAAGAATGGCCTCGCCGAGCTCACCAGCCTGGAAACTGCCTGCCTCAGGACCTGTGATTTCATAAAATACAGTCTTTGTTTCCAGCCAGGAGGGCGAGAAAGCCAGACAGATAAAATAACAAGAACCTAGCTTCCCAGTTTGTCTTTTGTGGCCTGTAGGCAAGGGATCCTGTGCCCTCTTCCTGCTAAAGTTCAGGCCTCTTAGGGACACAGCACCCAGTGGCTGAGCTCGTGGGTGCCTGGACCAGGCCCTGGCCAAGGGATTCCCATGTACCCTCTCATATGCTCCTTGCCAGAAGTAAATACTGCCCTCTGCCATGAGGTAGACCCTTTATTTTTACAGAGATACACAGTGATACCCAGAGAGGTGGCAACACCTGCCAGAGTTCACCCAGCAGGCAAAGGTGGATCCAGATTCTAACCAGTTTTCTCTCCACAGGGCCACTTCTGCCTGCTAAACACTGCCTCCTTGGGCTTCCCAGGCCCATCTTCTTCCCCAAGTATACAGTTTTCAGGATTGCCGTTGGCAGGGAGCCTCTGGGCCACCAGAGTGCTCAAAGAAAAGAGCAATTTTGCCCACCTTGCATCACCAGGGCTGCACAGACATCCAATCATTCAAAAAGCATGTGCAGGATGCCCCTCCACACAGCATGCTGGGCTAGGGGACACAGAGGCAACCAAAAGAGATGGTGCCTGCCCTGGGACAGTTCCCTGGGAGTAACTGAGAGCCTCCTCAACAGTAGGACCTTCCAGCTGAGGCCTGGGGGGACAGGAGGATACAGGCAGAGGGACAGGGAACAGGGTTGGAGGTGCAACACAGCAGGGAACCTGGGAATGGCTAGGTGGAATGAGGACAGCCTCAGAGACGGAGCAGCAGGTCCAGATGGGAGACAGGACAGACGGCAGGGAGGCAGGCAATGCTGAGGCAGGTCTCTCCACCTACTATTGCTCCTGACCCCCGCAACTCCCTCTCCACAGACAGCGAGATGGGTCTTCTTAAGTAGAAGTCAGGTGGGTCTCTCCCCTGCTTAAACCGCTGTCTACCCCTGCCTCCCCTCACACTGAAAACCACAGGTCTGTTCCCCTGGCAACCTGGCTCTTCCCAGCCCCTCTGCCGCCTCTCTGTCCGTGTTCCCTGGCTCACAGTGCCCCAGGCACCCTGAGCTCTGGCTGCTCTCTAGCTGCACCTGTTCCTGCCACACGGCCTTTGCACTTGTCTTTCCCTCTACCCAGAATTCCCTGGCCTGTCTCTCTAATTTCTCAGGCTTTAGCTCAGATGGCACCTCTTCCAAAAACTCTGCCTTGCTCTGCCTGGCTGAGAATGAATCCCATCTCTCTACTCCCACCATGCTTTACCTTTGCTGCCCCCTTCACTGCCACAGCATTCATTTATTTGTATCCTCATTTGTCGCCTGTCACTTGTACCAGAGTCTAACACTCCCTGAGAACAGCAACCACTTACATCTTGTTCACAGCTGTGTCCCAGTGTCCATGACCAAGCTGGGCCCCCAGTAAGTGCTTAGCAGATGCCCGTGGTATGAATGTTGGGGGGAGGAGGAAAAGGAGAGCAGGACAGTGCCTGGGTCTCCAATGTGGGCCGGTGCATAGATGGTGCTGCTACTGCAACAGAGAGAGAGAGAGCAGGTCTGGCGAGCGACAGGGAGTTCATTTGGGAAATGCCAAACCTGCAGTGGCTGTGGGACCTCTGAGGTCCCCCAGAGGCCAGCAGGTCTTCAGAGAAGTACTCAGGACTGTGGCACATATTTGAGAGGCACCGGCAGTGACATGAGTCTGTCCCTGCATGAGGAGCTGACATCCAAGGTGGGGGGCACCAGAGGAGGGGTCAGCAGGCAGCGAGGGAACGGGCAACACACTGGAGTGCAGCGACCTGCTGCTGATGGCCAGGGGGAGCCTGCCAAGATGGCGGTGTCCACGGAGGACAATTGCTTTCATCAGCTGAATGTGGCCACGCTGGCTTCCGTGCTGATCCAAGACTCTGTCTGGCAGACAGAGGTGTCATCATGAATTTCTTGATGTGCCACCTTATTTTTGATTAAATGCACTCTGTGCGGAAGGCAAACTTTCAACACCCAAGGTCCACAGGGAGTGGAACAATCAGCAGCATGACAGTTGGTGAGGACGGGAGGCAAGCCCATGGCTGCCTCAGGGGCCTCCTGGAAGGCAGGTCTGCTCTGCTCCCCCAGCCCCCACCCCATGCGGTGCCTCCTCCCTGGGAGCAGAGCAGTCCCCTCTGGCTTCCTTTTGCCCATGTGGACATCCTCAGCCCCCACAAAGCTCCTGGGGCACTCCTCTGGGCTCCAGAATCACCCGGGACTTCTGGCTCACCAACCCCAGCTACCCCTCATCCCTTGGGCTCACTGTGACACCTCCGGGTCCACCTGACTGCCCCCTGTTCACCTTCCCAGCTCTGGCATCTCCCTCCTCCATGAAGCCTTTCGTAACAACTTCTGTTGGCAAACACTGAAGTAGGGCAATGGCATTTCCTGGGCCTTGTCCATGCCCTTCTGGCTACCTGGAGCTGACTGCTTGGATCTGCCAGCTTCCAGGCATCTCCCCCGCCAGACCTCGAGGTTTCTGGGGGCTAATATGGACTATGGGCCATTGGTGGCGCCAAGCCTGTCTCTTACAGCCACTCAGCGAGTTTGCACAGTGACACCACAAAAGCCTCATCTGACCAAAGCCTGGCTCAGAGCGAAGGCACTCGCCTGAGGTCACACGCTGACTGGCAGGGACTGGTTTTGGGCTCCGCCCTAACTCCACAGTCACAGGGAGACAGCACCAGGCTTGGCGCATGCTAGGTGCTCATGAAATGCTTGCTGAAGGAGTGATGTGAAACAGGCAGCCTTCAGGGACATGGTGAAAGCAAGAACCCAGGCTACAAGGACTCAGGGAACACTGCACCCACCCAGCCCCTGGCACGCTGTGTGTCTTTCCTTGCTTCTAAGAAGGCCGAGGAAGGGAGCCCAGTACTGGGCCTCACTAGCTGTTGACTTTGGTTAGCATCCAAAGCAGGCGACCCACTCACAGGACTCTGGGAAGGTGCTGGGAGTGGAGAGTAGGGCAGGAAGGGATAGTCACTTCATCTCTTCACTCCCCACTGCCTCTGAGCTAACCCCTGCTGGCCCACCTCGGCCTAGTGACCACATTTCTCTCACTGATCAATATGGGACTTGTCTCATGTTGTTTGTTGGTCCTGTTCTTGTTACTCCCAGATACAAGAGGCCAGCTTCTCACTTGCCTTCTAGCCAGGACAGACTTGGAGAAAGGCAGCAGCCCACTTAGAAAGGCTGTGGAATCCCTCCTTTAAGACGCAGCCCCTGGCACCCTTGGGAACGGCAACTGGGTCCTAGTTATGTCCACCTCCTCCTCCATGTCTCAGCTGACTTGTCACTCCTCCTGAGAAGCCCTCCGTGACCTGTTGATTCTCCCCATTACACCATCAGGGCCCCGCCACTGCCACTGATCTTTATTTGTGCTTGATGAAATCAGGGCCCCTCTCCCCCACCAGACTGTGAGCTCCAGAACAGCAGGAACTGACTTCCAATTTGCTTACCAACAGCAGCCCCAGCGTAGAACTCCACCTGGCACTTAGGTGCTCCTTCCTTATCAGCCAAATGAACAAATGATTCTGGGTTCGACTCCTCGACCTGCCACTTCTCTGTGACAGGCGCACCCATGGACAGGTTGAGTCACCTGAGCCTCAGTTTCTCCCTCTGTGACACGGAGCACCCAACACCCCCACCTCACAAAGCCTTTTTAATTCAATGTCACAATGAATATAAGGAAATTCATACTGGGACTGGCACAGAGAAATCGCCGATAAACAGAGTGAGGCTGGCCGAGGGCACATTCCTCTCGACATGCCTCGCCTCCTCCGGCCAAGGGTCGCTCGGAGGCCTTCAGTCCCGGCTCGGAGACCCGCCCTCCCCGCGGCCTCGGCTCGCTCGAGCCCCCACGGTGCACCCGGCCCGCAGCGGGAGAGGGACCTTGCAGCAGCGTTACCTAGCAATAGGGCAGGGCTGACAGCCGGACGACCCCCGCCCGGTTACCTAACAACAGGGTGGGGCTCCCAGGTGAGGCCGTTCCCCCTTCTGGCCCTAAGATCAGGGTGGGTCCTGCTGGCCAGTCACCTAGCGACAGGGTGGGTCCGCAGGGGGCGAGGCCCCGTCGGTTTCCTGGCAATGGGGAGGGTGGGGAGCCCTCCGTACTTGCCCGCAATGGGGAGGGTGGGGAGCCCTCCGTACCTTGCCCTTCAGGTCCAGCACGTAGACGGCGCTGGCGGACATGGCGACCGCGTTAAGTCCGGCAGCGGCCGAGGGCGGCAGCGGCGGCAGAGGTGCCGGCCGCTGAGCAAAGCCGGGCACTCTCTGCAGCAAGTAGCGTTCACTTCCGGCCCGGGGAGCCGCACGCCGACCGTTATGTCCGGTCCGGGAGAAATGGCCTGGAATGCGCAGGCGCAGGGTGGGGTGTGCGCAGGCGCGGTGCGCCCAAGGAGATCTTACTGCCCGCCTCCGCCTCAAGCACCCGGAAGGCCAGAGGGGCGGGGCGGTGCCGGAGGGCGCGGCGCTTTCCCGCTGCCAGGCCCGCCCCAGTGGGCTGAGTTGAATGAGATCCCGGTAGCGGAACGCTCCTAGAAGGCCAGCCCTTTGGAATTCAAAGTCTGGTGGGAGAGTCTAGGGAGCAAATAATACAGTCACCAATCCTGATAACGCTTTATGAGAGGGGTAAGGTGGTGTTTACTTGAAAAGAGGTAGAATTCCCTGAATGAATCGAGCCTCATGACACTACCTGTTTCCTGTCAGTGCTAACATTCCACAGTGAACAAGCGTGCCTTTTTACGGCCTGAAATAATCTCCTGAAAAATCACGCCCCACTGGACCTAAGTGGAAAGCATGTGCTGTATTTCGGTAGTTAGTGGCCACCGTGGGTAATGCAAACTGTGATCCCTGATCAATTGAATGACAGCTCTTTTGCGTTTATGAACACTGGGACTGTGCAGAAACGCTTGCATTCTATCCCAATGAACCATCACAGTGCCCTGGGGATCCCAAGCCTGCAGCACTAGAATTACTCAGGTTGCGGGCCTCTCACTTGGGTCTTCCTTCGTATTTGAGGTTTTGCAAGATGGCTCTTCTAGTATATTTTCTGCTTAGGAGAGAGATTAAAGTGCAAGAAAATCTAGAGAACGCTGAAATATTTGAAGACGACTGAATTCTGGGCTGGAAGCATTCTTGAACAAAGCGGTCTGAGGAGGCTGGCTGGCAACTGCCTTGTAAGAAACCTTACTGCACCTGGTCTCATACTTTCCCCAATTTATTACAATAATTTTAGGAAAAAAGTCTTTTTTTACATTACAAAGCTATACATCTCTGTGAGAAAAAACTGAGGACATGCCACAAAGGGTAAGGCTTAAAATAATGCCACCCAGGCACGCGCAGCCCCGCCTACCTCAGGCGGGGAGCGGCGCGAAGAAGCCTGCGTCAGTCAATCCGGCCAATCCCGCGTCTCGTCCGCCCCGCAGCGTAGCCCCGCCCCTGAGCAGGACGCCCTCACGGATTCGGCCGCGCGCGTTTTCTACACTGAGAATGGTGTAGGAAGACGTAAACCACGATTTCACTTTCAGGACGGAAAGTCCGTAAGACTCAACTGTGATTTTACCTAGCACTACACCATCTCCCTGTACAAGTAGTTCAAGAAAACAACCTATGAGTGCAACACTTAAAGAACAACTAAGGAAAACTAGATCTTCATTTAATTCCTGTTCCAGTGTGGTAAAGCGTCTTAAAGTAGAAAATGAAGAAAATAAGATCTTTTCAGAAAAAATGTCTTCAACAGAAGAAAACTGTTTGAAATTTCGAGAAAGTATTAAACATATAGACAATGAATCTGAAGAAAATACATATTTAAAAAATATCTTCAAGAATATCAATGTATGTGAATCTAAGTCAGTTGATACTGGGTCATGCAGTGATCTCCAGGATGACTTTGTGAATGAGAATCTTCCCAAAAAAGAATTAAATGAAAAATCAAAATTAGTGAAGCAGATTCAGGAGAAAGAAGGTCTTCTGAGGCTAAAACTAGCCAAAATGTATAGATCAAAGGTGAGAATAATTTCAGAACCACTGCATTATTATTATTTTATTTTTAGATAAATGATAGGAAAGTAATTTCAAAAAGGGGGAAAAAGTTATTTTAGCATAATAAGCAATGAGCCAAGTACCCAGAAAATGGCTTCCAACAACTTTAACTCAAATATAAGTCATAGATTTAGGTTAAGTAGAAGAAGCCTACTGCTTCGTTTAGACACCAGCTAACTTTTTAAGAGCCCCAGCTAATTTAATGTACAGTTGGAATTTTGGACCAAATAAAATAGCCATAGAACTCAAGTGAGAGTCATTGGCTATTTAAACATTCTATTTAAAACCATCCTAATTTTCCTAGGTAGAAGTCCCATTCATGACCAAGTGTGTTACCCTTTAAACCTACTCATCAACTTTCATTACGTAAGTTAAAATAGGATGTCTATCTAGTTATTGACATACATTTATGTTTCTTTCCTGTTTCAGAATGACCTGTCTCGGTTACAGTTGTTAATAAAGAAGTGGAGAAGCTGTAGCCAGCTGTTGCTTTATGAGTTGCAGTCAAGTTATATCTGAGAACAAGAAACTCAGCCTCACTCAGTTGATCGACCAGTATGGATCAGATGATAAATTTCTACACTTTAACAGAAGTGAAGAAGCATTTATAGATGTTTAATTCATAATTTTTTCAAGAATATCTTTGAGAATGACAACTTAAAAGATACTTATATATTTTAAATGGAAGGTATAAACTATTAGGGGTTAGAGAAAGGTATCTTGATGAACATCAATTTAGGGCCTTTTATAAAAATATAACCTAATTTCTAAAATGAAAAATTAGTATTTTGGATAAATTTGCAAAAGAAAACTACATTTAAAGTAATGTAGAAAAAAGTTTAAATCATGTTTAAAAAATAATTTGGGCAATTCTGGAAGTCAGTTTTAATACATTGTTTTGTTTATTGTGGTAAAAAAAAGTTTTATTTTAAATGTTAAAAAAAAAAAAAAGCCACCCAGAAGGTGTAACCTCTCTCATTATGGACCTTTCCTTTTGGGCTTGCTCTGAGCATTCTGTTCATTATGGACCTTTTCCTTTTGGGCTTGCTCTGAGCATTCTGTTCAGGTGTTTAGAAACAGTACCAAGGAGGTTGGGAGGAAGAGATTGGACAAGTTTTTTTAGGAAACAGACTCCCAAGTGGGAAATGTATCATCACAGTAAATACTCTGTACCCAAAACTAACTTAAGCCCCTTTTTTCTTTGTATGTGGGAGAATTCGAGTCACATCTCAATTTCATCCTTGGCATTTATATTTAATGTAGAAGCCCAGATTTAACCTCTTTGACATCTCAGAATGACTGTACCTGTTGAGGTAGAATAGGGTTCCTCAAACTTTGCTGCCTATTAAGGTTACCTGAGGAGCTCTGAACAATGGCAGGGATTGAATGCCAACCCAGGCAGTGGTCAGTGGTCCTTAAAGCTCCCCAGGTGAGTCCAGCATACAGCAGAATTTGAGAACTGCTGTGGTAGGCTGCAACAGTGGTGGCCCCCAATAAACCCCATCTCCTGGTGTCCATGCCCTTGTACAGCCCCCTCCCAGACCGGGTTCGGCAATGTGGCTTGTGCCGACTGATGGAATCGCCTACATGGAGAGGGATCCTGGAAGGGTGAGATGCCACCTGGGCCATGTGGCCCTGAGCAGGTCAGTGCAGCTGCACAAGTGGATTAATCCACACTACGTGGTGCAGGACCATCCAGACAACCACAGTCAACCTATAGAATTGTGAAGAGAGAATTCTTGTTTCAAGTCACTTCCTTTTGGAGTATCTTGTCCGCCATGCTGATGCTTCTCACAGCACCACATCATGCTCACAGACCCTACCTTAGGCTCATGGGTGGAAAAGGCCTGCAAGTGCCTTTCTACCAGGCCCTGGCAGAATGTGCCCCAGAGTGCCACAGCTGAGGAGAGATGTCACCTCTCTCGGGTGGGTCAGAACCACAGGCGGGAAACGTGTAATCTGTTTTTTTTCCAGGTTGAGCATGAACAGGCATTCTGCAATATACACTCTTCCTGCACAATAAATACAAAAGGCAGCATTTCGAGTGATACTCAGCCTATAATTAAGACACTCAGACTTGTATTTACTAATGGGTTTTTTTCTTTATTCTGTTTACATGTGACAGCCCCAAATCTGACAAGTGGGTTTTTCTCTTGTTATTGTTTCATTCTGTATGTCAGCAGAGACTGTTCCCCACAATGGCATAGCAGTTCCATCCTTATCGGGTAGATGTACGTAGGCCCTCAAAGATCCTGGCTCCCAGTGCTAGAACCTGGGTCTTCTCTGACTGCACCCATGTCTGTCCGTGCTGGAGCTCTGCCCTGATCCTGTGACCCCTGAGGTATATCCTTAGGCCAGGAATGTTATGGGCCAGTTCTGAATAAATATGGGGAGCTGCTTAGAGCTCAGGGTGGGGCAGGCTGTGCCAGCATCCATTACCAAGAACACCGTGCTCCATTAGCAAGGTCTGCCAGGGCAACACCCACTAGACATGTCTGGAACGGGGATAATGGGGGAAGACACTGCATGCTGGCCCTGGGCTCAGAAAGGGACAGGGCATTTGTGCCACCCTTGTCTTCTGTGGTTGCTCTACTACCCAGGCTGTATGCCTCACAGGCCAGGTGACTGAAGAGGTATTCTGAAAGCCATGAAGCCCCACGTAGCTTCCCTTGGCCCTGGGTGGAACAGCATAAGCCCTGAGCTAGAGGGAGCTTGGAAGGGCAGCTTTCCCAGGGCCCTACAGCGGTCTGCAAGTTGCAGGCCACACCGGCATTAACTCCTTATCCTCTGCAGTCAGCTTCATCCAGGCAAACCAGCTGGATGGCTGTCAAAGGGGTAGATGCATCCGGGGGGCAAAAACCCTTTTCTGTGCAACGCACACAGAAATAACCTAAATCTCTGGATAAATTTTCAAAAATTTCCAGTCCGAACTAAAATGGTTTGTCTTCTATGTGCTACCCACAAAAATTTGAGCAAAAGGACAGTCTTACTTTAATCAAGTTCCAGAACGAGGGCACACTGCTTTTAAAAGCAGTGTCCCAGCAGAAGACACATGGGTATGTGTAAAATGACGTGTCTAGAAAATACCAAAGACACCAGCCGTGATCCCAGCTCTGCCTGCTGCTCCCCCAGTGCTGCCCCGGGCGGGGAGGCTACTTGGTCCAGCTGACTTTGGGAATGTCATAGTGCTCGGTGAGTGTATCCAGGTGTCTGTTGAAGTCCTGCAAAAGCCGAGAGGAAGCCCACATCAGCACAGGCACGAGCAGGGCACTAGGGACACGTGGCACTGCCACTCTGTCTCCACACTCTGCCCCCCTCAGTGAGCCCCTCCTCCCAAAGCCACCCTGCCAGGACTTACACACACCTGAACTCAGCTCTCCCTTAAGTGACCCCAGGGAGGTGCTGCTACTACTGGGTGAGCTCCCCTCCCCACGGACACCCCCGTGGCTCCCTGCCGGACTCCTGACCTCTGGGCCCAGCTTCACGGCTCAGTCTCCCCCACCGAGTGTGACTTACCTCCACTCTCTGCTTGTGGGTTTTGGATGCTTTCTTCAGGATCCTTTCCATTTGCTGGAGAGAGGAGAGAAATCGAGGTGAGTTCATAGTCTCAAGGCATGGGATTGAAGCTGGAAACCCTGGCCAGCACAGCTCTCACACCTGGAATGGCCGGAGGTCTCAGGGTGTAACCCCCCCATCACCAACTTCACTAAGGCTGGTCCGACGGGGTGCCCGGCCACAGTTCATCCCACTGGGAACCCAGATCAGCCGTCCTCTGGTCAGAGTGGCAGGAAATATACTGACAACCTTGTTGGAAAGAAAGGACCAGCAGGATGAGCTGGCCTGTGGGGAGAGACCCTGGAAGAGGCACCGAGGCACCGGACAGGTGGTGGTGAAGCCATCCCGGCTGTTCCAGTCCAGGTGGGCGTCCAGCCCCAGCTGCCATCTGAGCGCAGCAGACTCCAAGCAAGGCCAGCAGAAGAATCACAAAGCTGAGCCCCAGCTGCCCACAGCAGCAGGAGATGGTACTGCCAGTGCCGCCTGGCTGCTCTTCCCTGCCCCTCATCTCCCTGGGCACTGGTCGGTTCCCACCCGGCTGACCCTCCTTCTGAAGTGTCACCTTGTCCATCCCTACACTGTGAGCCCACGTGACGCCTGGGTCTCTTCACAAAAGGCCACAGACTTGGCCGGCTGTCGTGCATCAGGAGCTTGGCGGGGCTCTCCCCACTCCACGCACCAAGTTCACAGGTGTCTTGGGCCCTGTCGCCATCTCCACTTCACAGAGAAAATGAGGACCCGCGTGCACAGTTGGGTGATGGGCTGGAGATGCCACACCCTGGCCCTTTCCTCCAGGCTGGGGCCCCTGCTTCCAGGAACTGACCAGACTTCATGCTCACTATGCTGGACAGATCCTCTTCCATGAGACAATCTGCATTTCCCCAGTGCACCTGACTTTGCTCACTTATCCCTTCTCCAGGTTTCTCATCTCTCTCCCTGGGTCTGCAGCAGTACTTCTGTTTTTCAAGGCCCAAAACAAAAACCTTCCCTTGTCCTTCTGCCACCCTCCAGCTACAGGCTCGTTTCTCCATTCCCCTGACAGTTAATCCCCCAAGAGTTATTTCTCCTCCCGGCCTCTCCCCACTCTCTCTCAGGTCCACCCTTATCAGCCTTTCTTCCTCATTCCAGATGCCCGCTGAGGGCTCGGCCCACGGAACCTCTTGGCAGTGTGTGGTGCTGCTGGTCCCTTCCTCCTGCTCGAAACACTTTCTCCACTCAGCTCCTAATGACACCCTCTCTTCGATTTTCCTCCTTCCTGGGGCTCCTTTGCAATTTCGTCTCTCCACCCTCCAGTTACCTAAGGTCAGATCCAAGATTCCCCTGTCACTATTCCTTTTCGAGGGTCTCATCCAGTCCCACAGCAATTCCCAAATGTTTGGAAGAGGAACCCAGACCTCTCCTCCAAAGTGCATGTTCAGATATTGAACTGCCCATGGGAATTCTCCACTTGCACAGCTAAGGGGTATCTCACAGAAGTTCTCTAAATCCAAGACCTTGACCACTCCCTCGACACCTTTAGAAGCCTGCTTTACCTGTGACCTTCCTATCTCAGTAAACAGCACCTTCATTCCAGGATCTCCCACCAAAAACTCTGGTCATCCTCGATTCTCCTTCCCCAGCTCACACCCAACCCAGCAGCTAAACCTGCTGTGCTTCCTTCAAACTCTATCCCAAGCCTGATACCACCCCCAACACTTTCACTGTTACTGCCTTACTTCGAGCCCCTGTTGTCATTCCTCTTGACCCCGACATCGGCCTCCCCCCAGCTCCACCCCTGCTCCAGGGGACACCCCAGCCCTACCTCGAACTATGACCTTAGGGAAGAACTGAGGTGCAACCACTTGTTAAATGCTCACCACCAAGCTATGAGGTAGGGACTTAGCCCCACTTTACAGACAAAGAAAGTGAGGTATGGTTAGCCGGCTTGCCCCAAGTTACACCACCACTAAGTGGTATAGACAGAATGGAACCCATGTCTGTCTTGCCACAGCTGGTGAGTCTCCCCCTTTTTGGGGGATGGGGTGATGATTTAATTGAGCCTGGGAGTAAGTAGTTTCCTGATGTTAACTGGACCAATTCACCCAGAGCAAGGGTGGGGTTTCTTAGCCTTGGCGCTGTTGGCATTTGGGGCAGATCAATCTTTGCTGTGGGGGATGCCCTCAGGCACTGCAGGATGTTGCCAGCATCCCTGGCCTTGACCCACTAGATGATGCAGCTCTCCCACCCTCCAACCCAAACTCCAACTTGTGACAAACAAACGTTATCTTCAAACATGACCACGGGTCTTCTTGGCGATGGAAATGGAGAACAAAACAGCTCCCCGTTAAGAATCGCTGATTTAGACTGATTATTCCCTACCCGGGGCTTAATGGGCTGAGCTTATTTATCCCACGCTGACCTCTCCTGTCCCCAACTGTCCATATTTGTAAAGTGTTTAATATTAAGAGAGGTAACTTAATCAGTTTTAACGATACAACCCATTTGAATTTGCCAAAGTCACCCCGGAAACAGACTTTGTGGTGACTTACAGCAGGGAGCGTGACCATTTAAAATCAACAGCTAACATCGGTTGAGTACTGACTCTGTGCCCAACTGCGTAACAAATGCCTTATCTACATTACTTTCATCCCTTTTAAGACAAAGCACTATTCTGACCCCTAGAGATGAGTAAACCGAGGCAGAGAAACGAGTCGCTGATTCAGTGACACTCAGCAAACAAGGGATGGCGCTGGAATGCAAACCCGGCTCTCCAGCGCTGGACGCCTTTCAAAGCCGCCTCTAGCTCTCCCCTCTGCGGTCCACTCGGACCGGCGGGGCTTCGCGTCCTCGCAGGCGCCCGGGCCCTGGGCTCCTCCTCTCGCTCACGCATCATCTTCTCCCCCAAATTAAGGTCCCTTCTGATCGCTCGCCCTCCTGCGGGCGTCCCCGGGGCTGACACGGTCTGAGTCTCGGGGCGCTGCCCCCTCATCCACGCCGGGAGCCCCACCAGCCTCACCCGCTTCTCCTGCATCTTCTCGAAGGCCGCCTGGGCCGGGGTCCGCTTGTCCAGACCGCGCCGCTTCTCCTCCTCGTTCTTTTTGCTCGTTCCCATCGCTTCCAGAAGCTTCGCCTTGTCTTTGTCCTTTTTCTTCTTCCTGGGAGGGAAGACGAGGGTGAGGGAGGGTCAGAGAAGGCAAGAGCCCGGGGGTCTCAGGAAGAGGTTTAAGAGGACCCCAATGCCCTCGGGACTCACCGCTTGGTCACGCCGAGCTCTGCGACCCCTTTCAGCTTCAGAGGCCCCTTTTGGACCTGCTCGTAAGCCGCCATGTTTCCCGGTCGAGAACTGTCACACTTCCTGTTTGAGGATATTACTTCCGCCCAAATGCCCGCCTCACTTTGTCTGGATTGGCGGAAGCAGGTAGTGCGCATGCGTTCATGGCATCTGGAGCCCCGCCACTCTTCTGGGTTGTGGCTGGGCAGCTTCTTTTACGTTCCGTCTCCTGCCACACTTCCGGGTTCGGTGCCCGCTTCCGGTTTCTGTGCCCTGGCGGGCGCGTGTGGGTGGAGTGCCCTGACTTGTGAAATGTTTTAGACAAAAACCCCCCTTTTCCTAAAACCCAACGTTTTCTTGAGTTTTGCATGCCTTGGGATGTCCTGTTCATATTTGTTAATATATTTGGAGGGTTCAAGAGATAATGAAACCTACTAGTGTAAAGCCGACTAGTATTCGTTAGTTTTTCAGCTTTGGTAAATGGCAATATTATGTGAAACCTGTCAGTGGTATTTTTAAAAAATAGAAACTTCCCACCTCCTTCCAAAATGATTAGCAATTTCGTTCTGATTCTTTCCAGCACAAAAGGGTGTATATGCCGGTATCTAGATCGGTGAGATGTTTTACGTCTGCCTTCAGCTTTTCATTTAGAGCTTTCAAATGCCTTGAAGCTCTTTACGGGGCAGCAGGCACACTTCCAACCCCACCGTCCTCGAAGCCTGCATGTCCTGCGGCTGAGTGAAGCCCTCCCCAAGGGATGACGTCCACATGCCCACAAATCTTAGCTTTTTGTCCTGAATCCGTAGCAGTGGAATCGCAGAATTCAAGAGTGTGCACATTTGTGCATTTTGATCTGGACTGAGGCTGCCAGAATTGTGCTCGGGACTTTTGGACGGGGGCAGTTCAGGGGTGGAGGAGGGAGAAGCAGGGAGCAACCCCAAGTCAAGAGGACGTCTGACCGAAAGGTACTGTGCCTGCCATTTCCAGGTCTACCTGAAGGGGGCAGCAAGCGACGGCCCAATTCTCCAGCTGCAGCTTCAGCCTTGGGTCTCCTGCAGTTGCGCGAGGGCGGCAGGAGAGAACCTGCTTCCTGGAGCCACGCTTATAAGGGGCTGCCAGCCCTTGGCAGCTTACTTGTGTCATTACAGAATAGAACCAGCTCTTCAGGGAAGGAAGACATACTATGAATACTGGAGAAATTTGTTCTTCCCAGCCAACCCAGCTTTGGAGTTCCCAGCTTTGGAGTTCCTCTCTGGCGCTTCCAGGGCTGCGGTCCTGAAGCAAATGGCTTGACCTCTCGAAGCTTCTCTTTTCTATTTTACTCAATAGGAATGATGATGATAAGGATGATTAACAATGACAGCTAATACTTTATATGGATCATCTTATTTACACTCACAGCCACCCTATTAGGTAAACCTAAACCCTGACTTTATAGGTAAGGGAAACTGAGGCACAAACTGTGATGCAACCTACGGTAAGTGTCCACCCTTGTTTTGTCACCACACTGTGAGGTCATCCACTGTAGATGTGTCACTATTTTCTAAACCTCCAAAACAACGTTTTTTAACGTTTTAAAATAATCATCTCCTAAAGAGAACATTTTAATTTAATGAGAGAAGTCAAATACTAGTGAATAAAATTTTGTCGAGGATTGTGCTTTGGAGGGCCACAAATCATTGAAATTGCAATATTACCCCCATTGATAATGTATGTTTTAAAGGAGAAAATGTGCCAAGTTAAACTATGACACATAGTTTTGACCACTTAAAATTCTGATATCCATTTAAAGAGTTGTGAGATTTAAATGCACAGAGATTATTATGTACTACTCAGGTGTATACATACAAAGAAAATACAATAAATCAGATTTCCTAAAGGTGTTCATCTAGAGAGTATACTTTTCAAAATCACTTTTCAACTTAGGGTTGTTGATGTCTGTTCTTCATCACATGACATCATCCTCCGAACCATCAGGGACCCCAGGAAGGAGTGTTTCTTTAAGAGAATCTACATTGTTTCCAAAGAATAGAGTAGGAAAAGGGAAAAATGTTACCTGAAGGTGGAAAAACATGGCAAATGAAAGTCAACACTGGCTACTATGAATGAAATTCTGCTGTAAACATTCATGTATAAATTTTCTGTGGACATATATTTTCAATTCTGTCTACCCAGGAGTGAAAATTGCTTGGTAATATGCGAACTCCATGTTTAACTTTTTAAAGAACTGCCAAAATGTTATCCAAAGTGGCCAGACCATCTTATATTCCCAACAGCAGAGTATGATGGTTCCAGTATCTCCACATTCTGGCTAATATTTGTTATTGTCTTTTTTATACAGCCACCCTAGTGGGTGTGAAGTGGTATCTCCTTGTGGTTTGACTTGTATTTATTTCCCCATCGACTGTTGATTTCAAGCATCTTTTCATTCACTCATTGGCCATTTGTATATCTTCTTTGGAGAGATGTCTGTTCAAATCCTTTACTCATTTTGTTTTGATAGACTATTTTTAGAGTAGTTTTACGTTCATAGGAAAATTATGGGGAAGGTGCAGAGATTTCCCATATACCCTCTGTCCTCACACATGCATAGTCTCCCCCATGGTCAACATTCCCACCAGAGTGATCCATCTGTTACAACTGATGACTTGATGTACAATTTCACTCTTGGTGTTGTACATTCTATGGGTTTGGGAAAATACATACTGCCGTATATCCATCATTATATTCTCACTCAGAGTATTTTCACTGCCTAAAAGCCCTCTGCTCCATCTGTTCATTCTTTCCTCCCCAAAATCTTTGCCCACTTTTTTACTTGGTTTATTTGTCTTTTCATTATCGACTTGTAAGAGTTCTTTATATATGCTGGAGACTAGTCCCATCCCAGATAGAGTATTTGCAAATATTCTCTCCATTCTGTGGGCATATACAGGTTTTTCGTGTGTGCATAAGTTTCATTTCCCCTGGGTAAATACTCAGCAGGGGATTGCTGAGTCGTGTGGTATGTGTGTGTTGAGCTTCATAAGACACTCACAGCCCATTTTCCAGAATGGCTGTACCGTTCTGCATTACCACCTGCATATGAGAGTTGCAGCTGCTCCGCATTCTCATCAACGCTTGGTGTTTTCAGTTAAAAAAAAAGTCCTCAGGGGTCCTTAGAGGCCTGATAGTAGTCACAGTTTACAAGATCACACACTTGGACAGAGATGATAGCTGATAAGGCGAGGCAGCAGGGAAGGAGTATGATAGTCCAGGCCAGGGAGAGTGGGGATGAGCATGGGGGAAAGACCTAAGAGCAGTTCAGGGGGTCCTAGGATGTGGGGCTGGAAAAGGCTGAGCAGGAGAGGAAAGTGGAAAGACAGGCAAGGCCCAGAGCAGGAAGGGCACAGAGCACCTGATAAAGGACTTTGGACTCCCAGATGTTCTGCCCCAGAGGATTCTGGGTCTTAATAAATTGGCAGCTGTTGCATTGTGTCTACCTCTTCAGGACACATGGTGCACGTTAGCATGTGAAAGGCTCTGACAAATCCTGCAATAAAGAACTCTGGGGTTATTTAACCTACTTCTCAAACTTAGACCTTGAATTGCCTTTCTCAAGCCATAACATAATCATAATCTCCAGTGCACACCTTGAGACTTCATCTAGGTTGTTCCCTAGTATGCTGCCAGTGCTTAGAACTGGCTTATATCCAACTGTCAAATATTTTTATTTTTGGTTGCATTAATGATTTCATTAGATCATTAGAACAACTCTGTAAGGGGTAGGTACTAATAGAGCATAACTTTCATCTTACAAATGAGACTCAGAGAGGTCAAATGACTTGCCTAAGGCCATACAGCTAGTGGGTGAAGAACTGGTACTTGAACTGAGGTATGCTTGCAGCTTTTCCACCATGCCACCGGTCTCTGGAATGTGCTCCATACCCTCCTGCCAACACCCCCCACCAGACTCACCCAGTGGTGGGAGAAGTGGTCAGCTCTTCCAGGACTTCCTTCTGCCCTTCTCCTTGCCCTGGTGGCCGTGGACATCCTCTGGCTGTTGCCCAGAGAGCTGGGCTGTAACTTGATCTCCCCCAGCCTGGGGGTGACAGTGTGGGTGGGCGGGTGACAGCCAGGGCAGGGAGATTTGCCCAGACACTAGTACGCGGCAGCCTGGCAACCCGCATGGTCCAGAGGAGACCAGGGGCTTCGGGAGCCTGTTCCAGAATCTTGGCAGCGGTCTTCACCATGGGCAACAAGCAGACAGTCTTCACTCATGAGCAGCTGGAAGCATATCAGGTAGGAGTGGGGGTCTGCACCCTTGGTGGGTTTGGCAGCCTTGGTTACCGGGCCTGAGAAATGGGGACAGCATCCCTTTGTCCTGGGCGTGCAGTCAGCAAGGGATCTTGATGCAGCTCTGCATACAGCACCTGGCAGAGATGGGTGTGGGGTGGGCGGGGAGAGGAAAAGGGTGCCCAAGGCAGGGTCTGGGTCTGAGTCAAGCCAAAATCTCTTTTTGCAGGACTGCACCTTCTTCACAAGGAAGGAAATCATGAGGTCAGTGTGGGGAGAGAGGGAGGAAGACACAGCAACAACTTTCTGTACCTCGCTGGAGGGTGTTTGCAATTTGACTCATTGCTTCGTGGCGGTTCAAGAGCTAATGGGAGCGTTGGCAGGCATGGTCAGTGGATGGAGGCAGACATGGGGAGGCTGAGAAGTCACATCATGTCACATTGTCACGGCCTCTACTGATGAGCTTTCTCCCAAGGGCAGTGGGGCAGCGTGCAGAGTGTGTGATGAGGGGAGAGACTGATCAGCCTGTTGAAAGATCCCCACTGCCCCCCACCCCCGCCCCAAGGCCAAGGTGAAGAGGCTGCGATTGGCAGCTGGGAGCCCAGGGCCGGAGCCAGCTCTGGGCTGTGGGGCCGGCATCATGATGAGGGTGTGGGAAGACAGCCTGAGGCTCTGTAGGCCCTTGGCATGAGCAAGACAGGCATAGATGGGTATTTCGCATCCCCGCTGGCCCATGGAGCCATTGTCCAGAGGCCCCCCTCCGTGAACTTGGAGCTGTGAAATCCAAGCTGGCCAGGTTTCGGCTGCAGAGGGATCAGGGCCAAGGCGCCATTGTCTGGGTGAGGCCAGCTCCCGGGTCACCCTGGCCATCGCGATCGGATTACTGATGGGGAAACTGAGGCTCGGACAGGGGAGGCAGTCTCTGGCTCTGCAGCTGGGTGGAGCCCCAAGGAGTTTGAGGGCTGCCATTTCATCTGTGCCAAGTTTCTAGTTCACAGACATACTAACCAAGGCTCAGAGGGGAAGAGGGCCTCGCTCGAGGCCATACAGAAATCCTAACCCGAGGTGTTCCCTGAAGGGATTCAGACGGGGAACTGGATGCTCAGGTCTGAAATTCCAAATGCCCACTGCGCCAGTTCCTGGCCATCACATGACCCGGGGGCTCCTGTCCCCTTCCAAAAGTCCCTAGTGCTGGGGCACCTCTGACTCCTCAAGGGTGGTCTCCACACGGCTGCTTGGCACAGCCCCAGTGATGGTGGGGCATCACCCAGTGATGGCGTTGGACTGGAGAGCTGGTAGTGTGGGTGGCATTTGGTGTTTTGCAAAAATGCTTTATTCACCCTTAAAAAAACTTTAGTATTAGCCTTTTGTCTTTGCTCTGCCCCATTGAGGAAACCCTGCCTCCAATTATGGAGAGAAGGAAAATGTGAGGATGGGGGTCTTTAGAGGCAGAGGCTTGCTGACAATGTGCTGATGCCCACAGATTCATGTATTAGTTCAGACTCTCTGAGTGCTCGATGTGAAATGACCTCGCTGTAAACAGTCTCCCTTCTGCCATCCCTATCTGCCTGGGAAGCTCCTATTCATGCTTGAAGGCCCAGCACCAGTGCCCCCTCCACCAGGAGGTCCTTTCTCCTCCCACTCGCGTCTCCCTCAGCTCTCAAGCCTTGTCTCCCTCCACCTTGGTGCTGTTCCCAAAGAAGTGTCTGTGTCTGGTCATGTATGTTTGAGGGCTGGGCCCAGGGCTGATAAGCTTTTGGGGACCTGGCATCCTTCAGTGTGGAGTGAGCAGCTGAATGAGAGAGGAAGGACAAGGTCCTCTCCCACCTCCCAGCCCTTCCCGGTACTTCCCTCCCCCACACCAGGCTCTTCTATCGCTACCAGGACCTGGCCCCCCAGCTTGTCCCTCTTGACTATACCAGCTGCCCTGACGTGAAGGTGCCCTATGAGCTCATTGGCAGTATGCCTGAGCTGAAGGTATGTGTGGACCATGGGGAAGATGGGGGAGAAACAGTAGGGATGTCTCCTGCTGAATTCCTATGAGGTGGGTGCATTTTACAGATGAGGAAACTGGGGTTCAGAGAGGTTAAGATACCTGGTCATGACCACACAGCTAGGATGTGACAGAGACAAGATCCAAACCCTAGGTTGCCGGAAGGATGAGATGACCTAATGCAGGTAGAGCTGCACGGCAAGTTCTCAGGGAACGTAAGTTCTTCTTTCCGTAACAAGAGATACTAAATGCAAGTTTTTCTTAGTTGGATGTTCAACACAGTTTGTGTCTCTGAAGGGGACTTGTGGAGTAAGTGACTGAGTAGAGATTATTCCATCACAAGGGCCAGAAACCTCATTCAAGAAGGACAAAATGGATTGGCTCGCATGAGCAAAAAATCCACGGGCTGGGCCAGTGCCAGGTACTGCTGGAAGCAGGGTCTCCGAAGATGTGCTCGGGGGTCCCCCTCCATCTCTCGGCTCCTCCCAGGAGGAGGTTTCAGCTCCAGGCAGCCTGTCCTCGTGAGGCAGCGAAGGGAACCTCCAGGGGGCCCCGGGTTTCCTGGTCAGCGTCGCCGTCAGGAGAAAGCATGTCCCTCCGTCCCAGTTTTTCAGAAAAAGCCTCCCATTCTCTGATTGGCCAGTTTTAGTCACACGCCCCTCTCAGAGCCAATCTTGGCTTCCAGTGAATGGAAATCTCCGGCCTCTCCAGCCAGCGGGGTGAACGCAGCCCGGACCACAGGGTCGGCAGGGGAGTCGCCCTAAGGCCTCTCCGGGGGGAGGGAGCTTGGCAGGGGCGTACCTGGGGGCTTCCAGGGAGGTGGGTGCTGAGAATGTGGGGCTCCCCAAACCCCGCTTCCTGCGCCCAGGACAACCCCTTCCGCGAGAGGATCGCCCAGGTGTTCTCCGAGGACGGGGACGGCCGCATGACCTTGGACAACTTCCTGGACATGTTCTCTGTGATGAGCGAAATGGCGCCCCGGGACCTCAAAGCCCACTATGCCTTTAAAATTTATGGTGTGTGCAGGACCCCGGGGTCGGGGAGCCTGGAGGTGGGGTGTGGGAGCACGACTAGGCCTCGGGCAAGGGGCTGCCCTGCTGTCACTGGCGTCTCCCCCAGAGCCTCAAGGCCCTGCGTGGCCGTGTCCCCACCCTACCCCGGTGCCCCCTCGCCTCTCCCCTTGCTCAGTCCACTCTGGCCGCACTGGCCCCGCTGTACTTACATCTCACCAAACTCTTTCTGCCTCCCGGCCCTTGCTTCTGCTGTACCCTCTGCCGAGAACACCTCTCCCCGGCTCCTTCCTCCCTTGAGATCTAGGTGGAAAGCAGCCCCCACCCCCCATCACTCTCCGCCCCTCACCCTGTTTCTTCCCCATCATGGAGCCATGGTTGCTTCATTTCTTGTTCGCTGATCTGTGCACTTCTTGTCCACTTTCTCCCTGAGAAGACTGGAGAGCAGTGACGGTGTCTGTCTTGTTCACCTATGTCTCTTGTGCCTGATGTATAGTTAGTGCTCAATAAATACTTGTTGACCAACTGAATGAAAGAATAAAAATTTATCACAGTGCCTGGTATCACAGTAGGCACTCACTAAATACTTGTTGAAAAAGCAAATGAATGAAGAACAATTAGCACATGCCTGGCACATAGTAGATGCTCAGTAAGTACTTGTTGAGTGAATGAATGACCTCTCGGCAGCTCTTAATTCCAAAGCAAGATCCAGCTTTTCCCCGGGGGTCCTGGGTTCCCTCCACTACCTGTTTCCTCCTCTGTAACATGGAGACAGGAACTGGCCACGACTGGCCCAGCTGGCCTGCCACCTGCTGTCCCCTGACTCCACATCCCATCCATCCTGCTGCACAGATTTTAACAACGATGACTACATCTGTGCGTGGGACCTGGAACAGACGGTGACCAAGCTGACAAGGGGGGAGCTGAGCGCCGAGGAGGTGAGCCTGGTGTGTGAAAAGGTGCTGGACGAGGCCGATGGGGACCATGATGGGCGACTGTCCCTGGAAGACTTCCAGAACATGATCCTGAGGGCACCCGACTTCCTCAGGTGACCCTCTCTGCCCCCCCGCACAATCCACGTCCACATCTGAGGGGCTTTTACACACAGCCTCTGCCAAGTCCCTCTGTTCATTCATTCGTGACCTGGGGAACTTTCTCAGCCTGCCTGATCTCAGTCCCTGCATCTCCAAAATGGGGATAACTAAGGATCCTGTGGGCTCCTCTGTGGCAGATGCAGCTCTTTGGGTGATTGGGCCATGGGTAGATTTCAGCCCTCACTTGCCTAGACATTTTGGAGTGAACAGGCCTTACAACTGTCCTTAACAGCCCTGGAGAGAATCAGAGCTCCCACTGTAAGGTGGAGATGAGACAGCCCACCACCTGTTTTTGTACTTGCAATGAGTTAAGAACAGTTTTTACATTTTTTAATGTAAGAATATACCAACACTCATGACAGTCAAGTGACATGAGTCACTTGAAATTTCCATGTCCATCAACAGTGTTAGCGGCACAGAGCCACACCCGTTGGGTATGTATTCTCTTCAGCTGCTTTCGAGCTACAAGGCAGAGTTGAGTCACTGGGCAAAGTTGGAAATATCAACTATTAGGCATTTTACAGAAAAAAGTTGGCTGACCCCTGAGTTCGTACACTGGAAGAACTTAGAGCAGTGCCTGGCACACAGCAGGCATTCAACAGCTGTGCGCTCTGGAAGCTGTCCTGGCTATTATCGGTGGTGTCCCTGTATGCGCAGACTTCACTACCTTTTCCCTCCATAAGCACGGCTGCTCTCCTGACAGATAGAGAGGGGAAAATGGCAATAGGAATGTCCTTCCACCGACAGCTGCCCGTGTCCCACCCTGCCTGTCTGCCTCTTTAGACCTCATGACAGTCCTATGTAGGAGGGACAGCTATTATCTCCATTTTACAGAGGGGTAAACTGAGGCCCAGAGAGGGGCAAACACTCAGAGTCCCAAAGCAAATCGGGGGTGCAGCCCCGATGTAAACTCTGATTCAAAGAGATGTGCCTTCCAGCCCTGTAGGGGTCAGGAGGCCCACGGCCTGGGGCTTCTTGAGGGGGGGTCCCTCTTCCCGTGTGGCTCCTTGGAAGCCTCAGGGGCGCTGGGGAGGAGGACAGAGGGTCCCCCTGCCTGATGACACTGATGCCTTTCCTCTTGCCCCACAGCACCTTCCACATCCGCGTCTGAGGGCACCGCAGAGGGGCCAGGCTGGAGGAGGGCAGGCGCCCCTCACCCCACCGGGCAGCCTGCCGCCTGGGCTCTGGGAATAAACACACATCTGTGGGTGATGCTCGCTGGGGAGACGTTTTCTACCTTAACCCTGGGGGGCAGGAGGGCGGAAGCCTGGGGTCTCACTTCAGCCCTTCCTGGGACCCAGGTCTGGCTGTACCCTCTCTGGGCCACAGTCTTCTCTTTGTGGGACTGTGAGGGGGAAGGGCTGATTTCTAGATCTCTCGCCACTGTGAGGGCTGGACGTGCCTCGCTGTGGGTCTTGGTGGGCTGAGACGGGGTGTGGTGATCTGGCCAGCACTGTCCCATGGTGCCCATTTCCCACGGATGACCCCATCCAATTGCTCAATCCCCTTTCCCCCTCAACCCCTGAGTTCCTCAAGGGGGACTGATTGATGCCTTAACCCCTTGCTGACTCATTAGAACCACTAGATGAGGCCTCAGAGGGATGTCATTCACTGAGGCTGGCAGTGTACTTTACAGTTTATGAAGCACCTACCTTTCTGCTGTTGCATAGGCTGCCTATGACATCCCAGTGGGGTTGGACGAGAAGCGATTGCACTTCATTCAGAGGGAGCAGAGTCATTTGCCCAAGGCCACACTTCAAGTCATCTGCAGAGGCAGACTTGAACCCAGGTCCACTTCACTTCAGATCCCAGACCTCTAGACCTTGCCTATTTGGAAAGCCCCACACCCACTCCACCTGCAGTCATCCCAGGGACCCTGTCTATAGCCCCAAATAGTCCAGGAATGGTCATCCCTGCAACTGAGACCTTCCCAGACATCTCCATTGTGCATCATGTACTGTGCGCAGAAGCCCCAGGATTTATGAGCATCTTCCCGGTTCATCCTGACAAAGAGCAACTGCTCTTCTCACCCTTTTCCAGATGAGGAAACAGGCCCAGAGAAGTCTAATGACTTGCCAAAAGTCACACAGCCTCACAACCCAGGATTCCTTCCAGAGCCCACCCCAACCACAGCCCTGGGCTGCTTCTGTTTACAAAGGAAAGGAGCACATAAGCTTCCCCTAAACCTGACATTGGTATTGGGGATGTTCTGTATATATGCCATCTCCTTCATTTGACCAAGAACCCCAGAAGAAGGGCATGAACAGCCCCGTTTGTAGCAGGGATGCAATTGGAGTAGAACTGGGTGCAAGAGAGGAAGTGACTTCAACTGGTCTGGCTTCAAATCCTGGAGCCGATACCCAGCAGTTTAGCATGGCCATGCCTCCCCCCCTCTCTGAACTTCAGTCTCTTCTTTAAAAAGCACAGAATGAGCCTATTAGGCCTGCTCAGAGGTGTAAAAGAAACAATGAGCAATGAACACAGAGGGTCTGGTGTGGGGCCAGGCACACAGTAGTGCCTCAGTCCCTTGCTTTATCTGATTATTATTACTGTTCAGATAACCAGGTCACCCCGCTGGCAATTGTAGGAACAGAGCCAAGCAGTTGGTGTCTTTATTACGTTTCTCAGGCCCCTGAGGGCTGGTGGTTCTAGAAAGCTAGGGGTCCAGGTGTGAGCAGCCCCTGGGAGCGAGGGTCCCAGAGCTCTTCTCTAGCAGTACCCGGGGGCAAAGGGTGGCGGCCTGCGGTACTCCTCAGGAAGGCAGCTCTTCTGGGGTTCTGCCAAGTCTCTTGGCTCCGATTTGGACACCTTTGAGGCCAGAGCCCTCACTACCGCTTGGTGCCACTCCCTGACCCTCGGGGTCACCTCGCTCCAGCTGGCCAACCTCGAGGCCCACTTGGAAGGGTCATGTCCATCTCTCGAAGCCTGGAGCTGTGAGGACCTTGTAGCCACAGAGGGGTCCATGTGGATGTTATCTTCCCAGTCTGCATCACCAGCCCTGGCTTCTGGGCCGTGGGTCACCACCACTGACCGCCTGGTGTCCTGCAGCGCTGACAAGCTCACAGCTCCCAGATGGGATTTCAGCTGCCACCGGACCCTCTTGCCTGCCTGGGGGAGCATCTTGAGGCTCCTCCAGAGTTTCTGGTAGGCCTCCTCTAGAGGTACTTTTGGGGGACAGGAGGAAGAGGCTTCCTCTGTGGGTGCTCTGCCCATCTCTGCCCATGGCTTCCTTTCCTTTCGCTGATGGAGCAGGACCGGCTTTGCAGTGGCCTGAAACTAAGAGCAGGTGGGACCTGGGGTCCATCCCACCCACCAGAGCTTGAAATCTGCCCCAGAACTTGGGACCTAGGTCCCACCCAGGCACCCTGTGGTGGAAAAAGTCCCTCTGTGGACCCCCAAATATGATCCCATGCCCCATCCTTCCCATCCTGGTACACGGTTTCACTATCTCCCCAAGAGGTGGGAGCACTTTTTCCATAAAGAGCCAGATGGCACATATATTGAGCTTTGCAGGTCACACAGTCTCTGTCTCATCACTCAGCTCTCTGCTGTGAGGCAAAAGCCGCAGAAATCACCCGTCTACGGGCAAGTATGCCTGTGTTCCTATTACAACTCTATGGACATGGAAATCTGAGTTTCATCTGTTTTTCATGGGTCGTGAAATATTATTTTTCTTTTGACTTGTTTCAACTACTCAAAAATGTAAATGCCATGCTTAACTCGCAGGCCATACAGGACTGCACAGCAGGCAGGGTGTGGCCCTCGGGCTGTGGTTCGCTGGCCTGGTTATTCAGGTCAAAAACTTGGGTGTCCTTTACAGTAGATGGTGTCAGTGCCCCATCCACGTCCTTAGCTCTGAGTAATGCCAGCAGTGGGGACTCTGCCTAGGGGTCTTCTTTGGCCACATGGCAGATCAGAAGTAGCAGAGAATTAAAATCCCCCAGGCACAGAGCTTGACCAATGACTGATTGAAGCCAGAGTATAAATACCCCAGCTGACCACCTGTGAGGCAGGATAACTGAAGCAGGTGTTCTATGCAGAGTCCCAGCCACCGCAGGGAGACTGAGCCCTGGTGACCCACAGGGGTGACCCGCTCGCTAACTTCCATTCATTGGCTGCCCACCTCCCAGGTCTCCTAGACACCTGGGATCACCTCCCAAATAATGGAGGACCAGGGCCCTCAAACCATGACAAAGTCCCTCTTCCCCTCACCTTTCACATCAAGCCATCAGCAAGCTTCCTTTAAAAATATCCAAAATATCCACTTCTTGCTCCACCCCCAGGGTTCTCTTTCTGGCCTATCCCACCTGGACCCCGTCCCTGCCTCCTTCCTGACAACTCCACCACTGGCCCCAGACAGCCCCTTCAGCAGCTGGCAGCCACAGGGAACATTCACCACCACTGATCCCATCCTGCTCAAGCTCTCTCATGGCTCCTCTACAAACCTGGAACAGAATCCTCACTCTGGCCCCAACGCCCTGCATGACAGGCTCCTGCTGACCCTGCTCCTCTACTCCCTAACTCTCTCCCTTTCACTTGCCCCACTCCATCCACAAACTGACTTTTGTTGTGCTTCCATTTTTCAAGCACACTGAACCTCAGGACCTTTGCACATGCCATTCCCTGTGCTTAGAACATCCTCTCTGCACCTCAGTGTGTGGTCGGCTCCTCCTCATCATCCTGTACGTCCCAGCTCAATGCCACCTCCTCCAGGAGGCCTTCTCTGACTATCCCTTCTGACACCCATCTGTGCACCCACTGATGTCCATCACATCAGCCTGTTTCATTTCCACCACCGTCAGAACTTCCCTGCCATACAGGGGGCCCTGGAGGACCCTTAGCCTCGACCTAGGGGTGCCCGAAGGTCCAATCAGCTGTGATTCATTCATCTATTCATTCAGTGAGAAAACAGAGTGATGTGATAGAGAATGCAGACGGGACTTTAGGTCTGGAGACTAGGGAGAGAGATTATTGAAGAGCTGAAGGAAGAAGCCAGGCATGGGAAATCTGAGGGCAGAGCACACAGCCTGTGCAGAGACCCTGAGGTTAGCTTGATGTGTCTGAACAACAGAAGGAACGGCAGAGGGGCTGGAGCTGGGCTGGTGCTGGGCAGGAGGAGGAACAGAGGTCACAGCTGGGATTTTAATCTCAGGGTTTTGGGAAATCACTGGAAAGTTTTAAACTTGGAGCTACAGGTTGTACCCTTCTTTCTAGAGACTCTCCTCCGGCAGCTGCTGGCTGCATGTACTCCTGCCCCTCCCCGGGCTGGAGATGCCAGCTTTGTTACATACCTCCTCAGGTGTAGCCGCTGGGTGGGCGGAGGGGTTCTGAGGGTCCCTGGGGCCACAGGCAGGGCTGGTGGCTTCCCCAGCCAATGCTTTGAAGTACAGGAAGAGATCCTTGTAATCCACATTTGCTGGATTTTTCTGCAGGGCAGAGGGCATCCGCAGCTCAGCCTCAAGAAGGGGGGATGGGTGGGGCTGCGATCCCAGACAAACCCTGGAAGTCCAGGCCTAGGAGCTGCCTCGCCAGCAAACCTAGGACGTGCCCCTCCCACACCAGCTTCCGAGGGCGAGGCCCGGCCACCTGCCTTACGGAAGCACCTATTCCTGTAGATCAGCTGTGATGATTCTCTGCACATGAACCCTTCTGAAACAGGCCAGGCTGCAGGGAGGGGACTAGGAGGGGCAGGGCCACGGGGAATAGGGACAATGAGATTGACAGTTACAGAGGATGAAAGGGGACGGTGGGAGCAAAATGAGCCTGAGGGGCTTGGCCCATGGGAGGGTGGCTACTGCACACGGGGGTCTCAACTCTCACCTGCCCGCAGGGCTGCGTCAGCAGCTCCTCGTGTGGCCACACTGGATGCTGCTGGTAGAAGGCGACCAGGGCATCCAGCGAGGTGTGGGCCCCTTTTTCCCCAGAGATCAGGAAGGTCCCATCATCCAAAAGTTTCACCATGATGTGGCGGCAGCAGCTTTGGGCTCTGTGGGGACACTGCCTGGGTAGGGACATCCCATTTCTCCTCATTCTGTCCCCAACCCTTAGCCTCTGAGCTGGCAGCATCTCCACTCATACCCAAGTGACACTAGATAGGTGACTAAGGCATTGTGCTTCGGTTTCCCCATCTATAATGGGACTACTAAGGCTGACCTCAGGAGTTCTTGTGGAGACGAAATAAAAGTAGGTAAGCAGGTAAAAAATGAGCTTGGTACCTGGCTAGGGGTAAATGATCAATAAAAATGGTAATGAAATTTTGAGGCAGGCCCTTGCCTAAGACTTTGTGCCTAGCACACAGCAGGTGCTCAATAAATGCTCCATTAATGAATAGATGTATTTATTACCACTATGTATTTATGCCCACTATGTACTCACTATGTCTCATTTCATCCTCACAACAAACAAAAAAGTAGACCCATAAATACTGACCACAGACTGTTGGTTATCATTGGGACGGGGGATGGATGAAACAGGTGAAGGGGATAACAAAGTATAAACCTCAAATTATAAAATAAATTAGTCATAGAAATGGAAGTACAACATAGAGAATATAGCCAATAATATTGTAATATCTTGGTATGGTAACAGGGGGTTACCTGCACTTAAGTGTGATGGGCATTTAGTAATGTATATAATTACTCAGTCACTATGTTGTACATCTGAAACCAATATAATATTGTATATCAACTATATTCCAATTAAATAAAAAAGACTGAATTAATTTTAACTTTCCTATGTAACATTGAGGGAGGCACAGAAAGGCTAAGTAACTTTTCCAAGGTCACACAGTGTATAAGTGCCAGAACCAAGTCCTGGACTATGCAACTCAGGGCCTAAGCTTTTCCTGCTGTGGGTAACTCTGTAATGAAACCATTGGATTTTTTATTCATGTGGCCTAGAATCCTTTTGAAAGTAGTTTGTGTTGCTGGACCTGGTAACTGAGATGTCAGATTAGGCTTTGAGGCCTCAAGGAGCGGAATGGCCCTCAGTTTCCCTAACAGGTCTGCCTGGGTGGAGTCATAGGTGCCAAGCAGACAGTGGAAGGGAGAGGGGTGGTAGGGGGATGGCAGCAGCCATTCTCAGGCCCCAGCAACCCATGTTCTCAGACACCCAGTCTGTTACCACCAGGCCCATGTCTGCTGGTTACAGCCAGACCTGCAGCCATCAGTCTTCAGTCAGAGCTGGCCAGAACTTCACACTGGTTGCTCTTTGAGAAGGTGTGGCATGGAACACCCTTGTTCCCCTCCAAGGAAGCCCCAGTGCCCTCCTGGTCTTGCTCCTGCCCCTGTCCTTAGCCCAGGCCTTACTTGTAGGACAGCGTGTAGCCCACGTGGCTGTGGCTAACCCTGATGAGAAAGGATCCCAGTGGTTGTGACTCCAGCAAGTTCTCGGCATCCCTGGAAGGGCACACACAGGGGAGAGAGGGCTCGGGTCCAGTCGCCGAGTATACCTACCAGACTCCTGGTGCTTGAGTCATCCGGGTCAGAGTGAACAGAGAACCTAAAAACACCTTATTTCTTGGTTGTGTCGGACCTTGGGATATGCAGGGACAGGGAGGTACAGAAGCGGTGGATGGCCTCTGATGACTGTACCTTAGGAAGACTTCCTCCCAATCCCACAGCCCCTGCCTGCCTTTCCAATGCCTGGACTCCCCACATTAAGGAACCTTTGGGTGGATCAGGTGTCACAAGTAACAGACCAAGAGCCATTCTCAGAGGCAGAGTTCAGAACCCAGCTCTGCTGTTCATTGGCTGGTGGTGGCACTCCCTTTCTGACCTTGAGCTTCCTCAAGGGGAAAATAAACCCTGACTCTCAGGGCTGGTGTGAGAGGAGGTAGGTATGGGGATTGCTAGCTGGTCAGCGCTCACCCCTCACCAAATGTTCCCTGTTATCATCACTATTACTTACTGTCATTACTATTATCCGGGGCTTGCAGAGAGCATGATGGCCTTCGAGGGGACAAGAGGGGGAGCTTTTGGACCCATTTGGCCAAAACAGGGGCTATTGACCATGTGTGGCTACTGAGCACTTGCAACGTGGTTGGTCAGAATCAAGATGTGCTTTAGCGTCCAATACACGGCGGATTTTGAAGGCTTAGTACAAATAAAGTGATGTATACTATCTCATGAAAGGGTTCAGTATTGGTTTTTTAGTACATACTGAAATATTATCTTAGATATACTGAGGTATGTAGATATAGGTATACTATATATACTGAGATATACTTTTATTTTATAAAAATAAAAGATATGACTAAAATAAATTCTGCCTGTTTCTTTTTATTTCTTTTAAAGTAGCTACCAGAAAGTTTAAAATGGCAATGTATGGCTCACATTGTATTTTTTTTGGCACACCCAGAACCCAAAAACCATGCACAATTCCTTCTCTCAGTGGCTTTCATAGTGTTCTCTTAATTTCCCACATGCAAAGAGAGGCAAAAAATGCTTTCTCCACGCAGTTAAAGCCAGGCCCTGGGGGTGGCTAATGAGGCGAATTTGTGCACGTCTCAGGGCTCAGCCCAGTGGAGAAAGTGCACCTTGGTTATACCCCTGACAAATCAAGAGCAGCTATCTGGGGCACTGTGTTACGGATTCTGAGGCTGCATCCTGCCATCACTGATGGGTGATGCCCGGCCTGGGTGAGAGGGGACAGGGACCTGTCAGGTCCCTGGCAGCAGTGGTCTGGTGACCATTTGTATGGAGAAAGCCAAGGCCCAGAGAGGAGAAATAATTTGCCCAAGGTCACAGAGCGAGACCACACCTCAGAGGAGGTCAGATTCAAGCCTGGAATTCCATAGCTCCACAGCTCCTTCTATCCTCTTAACACACTGAGCTAAGCTGAGCCCAGAATTCTGCCCTGAAAAACACCCAGGGTGGGGCCAGACAAGGAAAGAGGGTGAAGGGCAGGGTGGAAGGTGTGGGTGTGTCCTCACTTTCTCGAGATGGTACCATGGAACCATGCAGGGACCCCTCCTTGGGCCAGCTGGCCCGCCTGTGTCTGTATGAACCAATCCAGTCGTGGAGGCAGCGGCGGGGGCAGCTGTCTGATCTCTGTCATGGCTTCCTGGGGGCAGGTGGGTTACCTGGGGTTGGGAGGAGAAGGAGAGTCAAGCCTGGCCCATTTTCCATCTTTGTTCTATTCTTGCAGCTTATGGCGACTCCTCTTTTGAGAAGTCCTCCAGGCTGCCCAGAGCAATGGCTTGAAAGTAGCTTATATTTCTTGAGCACCTACTATGTACTGGTAGTTTACAACCATTCATTCATTGACTCTTCCCAAAAATCCTCCAAGGACTTTTCCTTTTCTTCCTGTTATGCCATTACTGCAAGTGTGAGGAAGCTACCTTTACAAACCTATGTATTTAGACTCAGAGACTCCAAGAAGGGACTAGTGGTTATTAAAGGGGAGGGATTGGGAGAGTGGGTGGGGAAGGAGGGAGAAGGGGATTGAGGGGTATTTTGTTTATTACACATGGTGTGGGGGATCGTGAGGAAAACAGTGTAGCACAGAGAAGGCAAACAGTGACTCTGTGGCATCTTATTACACTGATGGGCAGTGACTGCAATGGGGTGTGGGGAGGACATGATAACAGGAGTGAATGTAGTAACCACAAACCAGATTGTTTTTTCATGTGAAACCTTCATAAGAGTATGTATCAATAATACCTTAATAAAAAATTAAATAAAAATAAATAATAAAAAAACCTATGTATTTAAATGTAAGAACTGAGTTTATTTAAATATCAAGTCAATATCAGTGTCCCTGGTATGAGGTGGAGATGGCAAAATGGTAAAAGAATGAATGAAATAGCTGACACACAGTGGGTGCCACAAAAGGTTGTCACGGTTTCATCGAGCACTAGAGAGATGTGGCCCCGGACACTTGCTTCTGCTGCCAGCTTTGCCATGTGCGGTGGCCGCTGATGGCACACCTTTCATGTGTCAGCTGCACCATCAACTCACACGTGCTCCTGACAACTGATGACATGGAGCTGAATGGAGAAAACAGTACTGATTTGCAAATAATAGTAAGCTGGTGCAAAGCTACCAAAAGGGTACCATGCCCCGTTGGGTTGTCTGCTCATCTCTCTGCTTGCTCACCCTCAATTCTGGCTCTGCCCCTGACACTGACCCTTCTTGATTCTTCATTATTGTAGAAGGTCATTCTAATGAGCTGTTTTCACAGGAGGGGACTTGCTGACCAATCCAGTCAATATGGACTTTCTCCTGCCAGAGGCAGAGGCTGAGTGCACAGCCTGCAGGAAGTAGCCCAAAGGAATTGTGGGGTGAGTGAAATTAAACAAATCTATTAAGATATGTTTAATAAAGCAGGGCAACAAAGTTACTGAGCCTGGAATTGGAGCCAGACAGCCTGGACTCAAACCCCAGCTCCCTCACTCAGCCACTCTATGATCTTGGACAAGTCACTTGACCTCTTTGTACCTGTATTTTCATCTGCGATTTGGGGATAATGGTATTTACCTGGGAAGGTATAGCTGACACAGAGTTAAGTGCTATATGTATATAATAAATATTCATGAATCTACTAGTGACCTAGCATGGGATAATGTTTATAGGCTGGTTCTTTTTTCTACCTGGGAGAACTCCTACTTATCCTTCAAGACCCAGCAAAAATAACCCCATCTCCAGGCAGCTTTCCTGCCGCTTCCCCTATGTGAAGCCCTGGCATTCTTCTCCATCTGCCTCCCACACCCTACCACCACCCCCTTCCTGCTTTTGGCCTAGCTTTGCCTCAAAGGGCTGGAAAGTCTGTGTGTAGCAAGCCCCGACAGTTACCGTCTCTGTTTGCAATGCAAGAGCCTGCCTGCAAGTTGTGACTGCCAAGGCACCTGCTTCAAGGCTATCTCAAATAAAAACTGCTGCCAGTCACACTACTGGATTGTGACTCAGGTGATGCGCCCCACCCCTGCCCCCCAGCCCCTTCCCCACAAAGCTCTTTTGTTTAGAGATCTTGGTAGATTAAGATAATTAACCATTTGGGCTTAATTAACCATTTGGGCTTCTTGTTTTTTGCTTTTCATTGTTTTGCCACTTTCTTTCTGTTTCTCTCTTCCAGTGCTTTAAATTCCCACTCTTATGTTTAAATTTGCCAGTAAAGAGTGAGCCCTGGAATCCATAGACCCCCACCCTTGGCCCCAATAAAAGGAGACCCCCATGCCTGGGTGCAGCCCACCCGCTCTCTCTCTCTCCAGGCAAGACCTCACCATGTGCCCCTGGCGTGCCTTTTACATTCCAGGGCTTATAAGTAATACACTTTTTTTTTTCTTCAAAGTTCCCAGAATTTTATTGCTGAAGGGCATCTTGCAATCCTGAGAACCACAAGTGCTGGTCCACTCCTAGCATTGGTCTGGAAATAGGAGCTGTCTGGGAAGCTCACAGGGACCCAGGTACTTCTAGACTAGGACAGCACTACCATGATAGGCTGAGACCAACACAAAACAATGTGTCCTTCGTATGAGGGGCTCCTGGGAAATGGGTCCAGGCTTAGGTTCTTCTGGTTGTTTCTGGGTACCCAGCATCTCCCAGTGCTGGGCAGGCACTGAGGGTGCAGGGGTGTTTGTGGACAAATAAGTCTGGTGGTGAATGAATCCACCCATACCAAATATCCAACTCCTGACCCAGGCACTGAGGCCTCCCTCACCTCTGGGTCCCCCACATTCCAGCCAGAAGGACATCCTTGCTCTGCCCAAAGCTGATCAAGTTCTCTTCCCTCCACTCCTTCGCCCATGCTGTTCCCCTTCCAGGAATGCCCTTTCCCTAACTCCAGCTCCAGTTTACAATGATCATCTCCCAGTGGCCCCAGGACATTCCTCATGCCTCTCGGGTCCTGCGCAGCCCTGTCTGGCTCAGCCAGGCTCCCATGCTGTCTTCTAGAAGGCTGGGATGGGGCTGACGCTCCTGGGGTCCCAGCTTCACCCAGCATGGGCAGGCACACGAGGCGGGCAAGTGGTTGACAGAGGGGTCCCCCATGCGGCACGTACCTGGGAGGGCCCTCTCGGCAGAGTCCCTTGCACTGGCTGGGCCCGTTATCTGCAGAAGCCCGTGTTTCGTTTCAGGGTCTGTACGTCAGCGGGGAGGGGCTGCTGCCCCCAGGCGGTTCCTGTTTCCTTAAGCAGGTGAGGCCTTGGGGCGGGACCAGGACAGCCTTTTGTCTGATGTCTGCAGCCCAGCAGCTGCCAAACTGCAGATGCTGTGACACCTTTGCTTCACCCAGATCTTGACAAACCTTTATTAAGCTCCTACTGTGTGCCAGATCTTAAGGGAACAGAGAGGTAGTCCCAAACAGGTGCAAGTGCCAAGATCCGGCATCTCTAATCTAGCGGGCAATGAAGAGTGAGAAATTATTAATGTTTCTAAGTGTACAATCTGGCAGGAAATGAGGGGCTGGGGTGGCTGGAGTTGCAAGAACCCCCAGAGGGAGCCTAGCTGATTTGGAGGAAGGGGTACCTGGGGGCAGGTAGGAGTCGGCCTGATTGGGCCAGGGTTGTGCAGAAAGTGGCCTCAGTGGAGGGAGCCATACAGGCAAGGCCCTGAGGCAGGAATGACGCCCACACTGTGTGCATAGGGCCCCATGGTGGCGTCCTCTCTGCAGACCAAAGTACGCGTAACACTGTATTTTATGAATGCATTGGCCAATATGTCAAGACCGATGTCGTCCAGGCTGGGTTCATAGTCATATATTCATTGATTATTATATTCATTTTTTCTTCTGATTTTAAAAAACTAAAACATTTTGGGGACCCTTATGCACACTGTGGGAACATGTGTCTAATGGATCAGCCAGCCCCGGATGTGTGCTGATTGTACCCCCTTCCCCAGCACGTGGGCAAAACCACTTCCTCCTCGCTTTTCAGGCAGAAATGACCCAGATCCTCATGGCTGAGCGGGGGTCCCCCCAAAGGGCTATTGCCCTGGCCCAGCTGATCTAGATAGCCCCATTGCAGGTGCCAGTTGGGAGCCTTGCTGAGTAAGGGGGGGCGCCCTTGTCTGGAGTCTGTGGGTCAAGCAGAATACACATGGTACTGGGCTTCTTACTCACCTGCTGTGTGGCTTTGGGTGAGTCGCTCTACCTCCCTGGACCTCAATTTCCTCATCTGTAAAGTGGGCAGGATAGAGCTCTCCTTAGTCAGAGAGACAACCTTCAAGCCTGCAGGATGGGGCTCAGTTAAGAGTAATAATAACAGGACTCATCACTACGACGATGCCTGTGTGCCTCAGTGGGGATACGCAAACTTGGGCTCCAGACCTTACGGGCTGGGCCACCTTGGGCCCCTCACTTTACCTCTCTGATCCTCCAATGCCCTCCACAGCACAATGGGCTGGCTCCCAGCCTTGATGGTGAGGTTCAGTGCTGTCTGGGGTGACCCCATCATGAGAAAGCCTGGCCATCGGCAGCCTCGTTTGCATGGAGTTGTCTTCAGAAACACGGGTGTTTCAGTCCACCTCTGGCCTGGGCCCCTGAAGCCCCACCACACAGCTCCTCTCTGATTCCCCTGATCTGCTTGGGGGATGCTGTCTCACACAAACTGACGTCCTCCCCTGAGACTATCATAGCAGTCCTCCATCAAACCTGTGGCCACTAGAGGGACTTTTGGGAGGGGATCAGCAAGGAGGAAGGGGCTGGGACTGCAGGGCCCTCCCCTCTGGCATCAAGTCTGGGCTTTATGCAGTTTCACGGTTCTATCATCCCGCAATACCTCCGTTCATTCATTCATTCTGTAAACACTGGCTGGGCCCCAACTGTGGGCACCATGCTAGATGCTGGGGATGAAGCAACAGACAAGACAGTCTATGGAGACATAGGATCGAAGGGCCCTGGAGCAGGAGCAACCTTGGCACATGTAAGGAGCTGACAATGGCTGATGCGTCCAAGAGGCAGAAATAACTAAAATGTCTGTCGATACGACCAAATTTTAAAAATGTGGTCCATCTATGTAAGGGAGTACTATTCAGCCATAAAAAGGAATGGAGCTGACACAGGCTGCAGTGCGGCTGAAACTTGAAACCATCATGCTGAGAGAAGCCAGACACAAAAGGCCACGTGTTGTATGAGCCCGTGTGCGGGAAACGTCCAGAACAGGCACATCCATGGAGATGGGAAGCACATCAGTGGCTGCCAGGGGCTGCGGGAGGAAGCAGTGCTCCTGGGGGCGGGGTGTCCTCCGAGGGGATGGAAGCACTCAAATGTGGGGTGCTAATGGCCGCACAACTCTCAATATTTGAAAAGCCAGTGGATTGCACTTCAGTGGGTGAACTGTACAGTTGTCTGGGTTACATCTCAATAAAGCTGTTACAAAAAAAAAGGCCGAGAAGTCATCTCTGTTCAAGAAGATGATGGTGGGTAAGTTTCCTGCCTGCCATTCCAGCAGAGTCCTTGGAAGTCAGGAAAATTAGTGACACTTTTGAGCAAGAGGTTGCGACTTAGAGGAGTTGTTCAAGAACACCTGCCCAGGGTTGGGGGTGGCAGCTGGTGGCAATTTGGGGCATTATGGGGCAAATAAAGCTGTAAGCCATAAGCTAGTGGATGATTGCTCTCTGTTAAGAGACAAGATATAAAGAGAAGTTTTTCTCCTGCAGCCCAAGACAAATAATGTGAAAAAAATATTAATAACAAATATTATACTTGATGACGATGATGTTGGTAGCAGCTAGTCTCAGCATTTATTCTGTCTGTCCTGGCCTGGGACACACCACCTCACTGGCTCTCCATGGCCATCCTATGAGGTGGGGACTATCATAGTGTCCATTTCACAGATGGGGACACTGAGACTCAGCCCAAGTCTGTGTCATGGATGGGTAGCCTGTGTGGCGAGGCTAAGGTAAGGTGAGGAAACAGGCCTGGAGCTGCATGCTCAGCTGGGTGTCAGACAGGACTAAGATAAGAGCATGGTGGTGGCATGATGGGGACCGAGTGCATCGAGCAGGGGACGTGACCTGCCGAGGAAGTGCTGGGAGTAGGAACCCCTCCCCATTTTCCTGTGGGACTGGCACAGAGCTGGGGGATTGTTGTTCCGAGTCAGACCTCTGATAACCATCTGCTTCAGAACCTGGGGTAACCCACCACCTCTACCTGTAACTCATCCAGCCCGGAGGCCCTCGCCCGCCTGGGCTGTTTTAAGTAATGGGTGTCCTGCAGACCCACCGCCCAACACCAACTGTTCACACTGTTCACTACAGGGAAAACGTGGACACAGGAACCTGTGAACTTTCATGTAGTCCAATCTGTAATGTTACAGGTGAAACTGCAACCATGAAAAGATAATAAAGATGAGCTGTTAAAAAAAAAAACATTAACTTTAAAATGAGCTTTAATTTGTTTTCCTGAAGTGCATTATCGATGTAAACAGAGCATGTTAGCAGAATCCGGGGGAGAGCAGGCTATTGCTGGTACATAGGTTTTAATTTAAAAAAGGAACTATGATGCCAATGGCTTGGAATGACAGCAGCGGGGTAGGGGGTGGGGAATAGAGGCTCCCTGGTCCCCACTGCACCGTCTCCACGGGGAAACAGAGCTGTCAACAAGGAACCAGGTGACCGTAGGTAGAAACAGCCCAGCCTGTGCTGCGGTCTGTGTCGAATGCCTTGGCACTCAGCCCCGCCCAGCTGGGGCCTGCCAGGCTCCCTCCCGGTCAGGTAGGTCTGCCACTGGACATCAAAGACACAATCACTGTGTGGCACTACAGATCTGGAAAAATAAAGATCTCAGCTAGAAAGAACGTCTGGTTTGGAGACAGCGGGGGTGAAGCAGAGCAGGGGGCCATTTGGGGGAGGAGGCAGGAGCCCCAGTTGCGGGCGGGCCACGTGTGGCTGTTTTCGGGGTTGCCCGTGGCACGCATGGCACCCCCTCAATGCCCAGGTGGGGGCTGCAGAGAGGCCCGCTGCCCACGCCTGAGGCCTGGCTGGGTACAGGAAAAGCCACCCCATGCTTTCCTCAGGAGTTCCTAATTTGTGCTTCCCTTTGGTTTGACAGTTAAAAAGAAGACAGGGGCAGGAGGATAACAATGCTTTTTGTCACTTGTCCGATATTTAGAGAAGAGAAAGTGGGCCTCAGATGTCTGGGTGGATGCTTCCGGTGTGGGCCGCCGCGCTTGGGGTGCGGCGCCTGGCGCTCCTTGGAATCACTGCTGGTCTCTGGGGGCCTGGCCTCTGGGGTGGGGGACGTGGATGGGCTTTCTGGTGGGGCTTTAGTTGTGTCTCAGCGAGATGAGGATCGAAGGCCCAGAGAGGCAGGCCCACCGCGCTGGCTGACAGTCCCCCTTTCTCTCTAGTTACACAGTGAGCAGGCCCATTCGGCAGACGTCAAGAGAAAATAGCAAATTCTTAACTTACTCCATCTCCAAAGTTGAAAAAGATCAGACATTTACTAAAACAAACAATTTCTTGATTGTGTTCTGGTAGCAGCCGTGGGCCTGGTGGCCACGCGCGGCAGGGGCGTTGGAGGGGGAGCCCGGCCGGGCGAGGGGCTCACTCAGGACAGGCACAGTCCGCTCCGCTGAGCGAGGCTCAGAGGAAGGCATCGCTCCTCACAGAACACATCGGAAAAAGCTGCTCTTCTTCTGCTGGTCTGGCATGATTTTGATGCCCTGGTTGCTCCCCTGGGGGCTGTTGCCTTCCTGAAATCACGAAGGGTTTTCGGAGGTTGGCACTGAACATCAGCACCATGTCCCTTCGCCACCCACCTACCCACTCACCACCCATCCCCCATCCACCGGTCACAAACCGCCCATCCGCCCACCCATCCCTCTACCCACCCATCCATCATTCCCTCCCGTCAAACTGACAGTTTCATCTTTCACAAACCCACAGGTGTATTTTCCACCTCCTACCCACCCACCCTCCAACAACCATCCATTCTTCCCACCCATCCTCTCAACATCTTTCCCACCACCCAGCCACCCAGCTTCACCCACCTTTCCCCACTTCCTTCTCTGCATCTACCAGCCCCACCCTCTTTCCATCCATCTATCCAACTATGTCTATCAACACCCAGTGAGGCAGCCGCGGAGCAGCGCCAAGACTGTCCCTTGGGATTTGGGTGGGGAGGTTGCGTTCAGAGCCCCAGAGCCACTCACACCTCTCTGGTCTCTGAGTCCCCTGTGCCGAGGATCTGGCTGGCTCAGCCCCTCTCACCCTGTGCACATTCTGCCCCACTGCCGGGGATGTAAGCCCTGAACTCCATCTGGCGCACTCAATCCCTACCGAAAGCCCACCAGCACCCCCAATTTTCAGAGGACTTGCCCAGGTCTGTTCTAGCATTCAAAGCCTCTGTGACCTGGCCCCTGCCAATTCTGTGACCCAAATCTTACTTCGTCTGGGCTCCTCCAGTTTGGAAGGTTTTCTTTGACTAATCCTTTCTCATCTTTCAGCTCTTAGGTAAAACCCAAATTCACCCAAGTAACCATCACGTCTTCTGTGCCAGGCACCTTTGGGGACAGCAGGCACACAGTGGCAGACTAAAGGGCCTGCCTGGGGAGCTCACTGTGCGGGGAGCAGAAATCATGTGGGTGGACAGCACTGATCCACAGTGGCAAGCATCGGGGGGACAGGCAGGGACAGGTGGAGGTGTGTTCCGACAGTGACATCTGAACAGAGACCTCAGGGGTGAGGGAGTAAGGCTGGGGGGTGCCAAGGGCTTGGTCAGCAGAGAAACTGCCCCCAGTGATATCCACGCCCTCATTCCTGCCACTTGTGAAGACGGTGCCTGATGTGGCTGGAAGGATTTTGCAGAGGTGACTATGCAGAGTGGGGGACAGCAACCTGGATCACCCAGGTAGGTCCAACCTGATCCTGGGAATTCTTACAACAGAAACCTTCCCAGCTGTGGTCCGAGAGAGAGTGGTGACAGTGGGGTCAGAGAGATGCCGAGTGGCTTGGAAGATGGAGGGAGGGTCACAAGGCAAGGAATGCAGTGGCCTCTCAACACCAGACGAGAAGAAGTGGAGTCTTCTCATCTTCCCTGGAGCCTCCAGAAAACTATACAGCACTGTTGGCACCCGCTCATAGCCCCAGGAGACCCACTTCAGACTTGTGACCTCCAGAAATGCGTGTGGTGAAAGCTGCTAGATGTGTTACGGGGCTTTGTTCTAGCAGCCCCAGGACACTAATGCAATGAGACGCACCTCAGGTGGAGGGGTTAAGTCCAAATGAACATGGGGCGTTCAAGGAACAAGAAAGACCGGTGTGGCTGGCGCAGAGCGGACAGCTGGGAAGTGGCAGGGTGACAGGGTGGACAGGCTGGCAGCAGCCAGAGCTCAGCTTTCTCTGATGCACCCAAGAAGGAAGACGGGTGGGCAGAGCTGGCTGAGTCCATGGCGTAAAGACAGATATGTGAGATGTCTTTGTAACTGCAAGATGAAGAGTCTTGTAGGTCTAATGCATGGCATGGCGATCACAGTCAGCAATAGTGTGTTACAAACTTCAAAGCTGCTGAGACTCTAGATCCTGCTCTCAGCACAAAGGAAAGATGGGGGTCATGTGACATGACAGGTGCCAGCGAAGAACGCTACTGCAGTGATCCCACTGCAACACATAATGTACCAAGCCAGTGCGCTGCACACACCTCAAACTCACACGATGCGTCCATTGCATTTCAACTAAAACAAAGCAGATGTGAAATGGCACAGGGCTGCAGCTCTGGAAATAAACAAAAGTGGTAGGAAATGGGTAGGAATTTTACTGTCAGTGATTTGCAATTCAGTTCAGAAAAAGAGATAGTGAGGATCATGGCTGTGCATCAGCATTTCATGATCTGTACCTTGAAAGGATATGGCACATGCTTGGGACAATCTGCAGGCTGGTATCAAAAGCACAGGCTAAGGAAAGCAAAGAGCCTCTGTCTCTGTGCCATGCTTCCCTCCCACCCAGTGTAACTGCTGGTGGGCAAATGTCAGAAGGAATCCTTAAGAGACAAATTTTTACCGTTATATAGAAAAGAAAAAAATCGTAAGAAAATCACATGCTGTCGTTGGTTGGCATGTTGGTTCACATGGACTATTTCCCATTTTGGCCAAAGGTCTACTACTGAATCAATAATATGTCTTTTGATTCAATCTTGTGATCACAGGATCTTAGAATTATGAAAATAGACGTTTTAAATCAGATGTGAACTACCTGAGTAGCACTTCCTATTACGTGTGCAGTCTGTGTGACTAGAAGTGGAACAGGCAGAGTGCTTTGCGCTCCCGGATCAGAAGAAGGGGAGCGCCACCTGGCTGGGAGAGAGAAGTCACTGGGACGGAGGCTTAGACGCTGAACACGGCCAAGGTCAAGTGCTCAGACTGACCAAGAACGAACTAGCTATGCCAAGTGCTGGGGACTAGAAAACAGAAAAGCCAGAGACAAACAAAAGGGTGGATGGGGAGAGATTCGAGCAGGATGCCCACAGAGCCCTGAGACCCACTGAAGGTCACAGAGCTGTCACGGCCTGCGGAACTGGGTGCTGGGGGCACCAGTTGACCTGCAGGCTCGTCAGGATGAAAAGCCAGCATCTGTCAGACACAAGTCTTCAGAAGACCTTGTTCCGGGGGGACTGTGGCCCTAGGCCTGCCCGGAGAGCTTTTCTGCAGGAGGTTCTCTCCTTGGACAAGCCCATCTCCCGAGAAGGTGGAAAGGACGGTGTATCCCCGGCTAGCCTGTGTGTTACCAGGCAGCACCTGGCGGCGAGCAGCTCTGAGCCACAGCAGAAGGAAGCACAGATGGGTGCATCCGGGTGCAGATGCCCCAGCCACACTTTCTCTCTTCCTCCTTTCTCAGGGATGCCCTATTGGCTCTGGTTGGGCCCTAAAAAGCAGGCTCTGCCTGGGGAAGCCTCACCACTGGGACCCATGCAGGGATCCAGGAAGGACACACTCACCAATTTTTTGTCCATTTCTGCTTTGATGTCTCTGGCGAGAGTGAAAAACGCCTGTGGAATGAGTGTGCCATTAGTGCCCAGGAGTGGGAAGCAGACAGGGCCTGCAGCTCCGGGTCACCGCTATGCAGTAGGTGTGGCAGGGCAGTGGGGCAGGCATGGGGAACAGCATCAGGACGGCTTACTGCCATGGGGCTCACCCGTCCAGCCCCAGCTCCTGCCCCGGCCAGGCTACCCCTGCCCACCCGGACAGCCAGCTCCCCTGAGCCAGTGATCTGGGAGGTGGGCCGACCTTGACTGGTCGGAGAGGGAACAGAAGCTTGGAGGGGTTGGGGGACTGGTCTGGAGACTTCCACTTACTGATCAGAAGGACCCAGGAAGGGGACCTGGCTCTCCACCCCTCACCCTGTGCCCTGCCTGCTTTGCCTCCCTTCTGATGGTTGGGGCAGGGTGGGAAGACAAGCAGCTCCTTGGCCAAACAAGCTTCCTTTTGGGCCCCTGCTGGTGGGGAGACCTGGAAGGGCTGAGATGGGGTAAAAGGGCTGCCCTCCCGTGTGCAGAGAAGGCCTGAGCAGGTTTGACCCAGGCCGCTACCCCCGCGGCAGCCTCCTGACCATTTGCTCCTTTCCCTCATCTGCAATTTTGATGAACACTTATAAACTTCAGTCAGGCCCCAGCCCTACCTTTGGAGCTCACGTGTATGTGAACTGGCTCAGCACTGGCAGCTGAGGGGCTCCTGGCTTGGGGGAGGCAGAGTCTCAGCAAACACCCAGAAAGTTTTGTCATGGAGGGTGGCTTAGGGTGCTGGGGGCACCCAAAACGGCAGGCCTAAGGGTCTGAGGGACGGTGCAGGCTTCCCTGGGGAGGGGCTGTGGCCACTTGGGCTGGGTGTTGGAGGAAAGGGGGGGGGAGGGAGGGGGCTGTAGCAAAGCCTGGGAGAGGGTGCAGCAGGGTGGCCTGGGATGGGCGCGCACCAGCTGGGGCCAGCGAGGGAGGGCCTTCTGTGCCACGTTTGCTGGGTTGAGGCTGGGAATGCCATGGAAGATCCGTCCCAGGAAGGCCACCAGGGCAGTGGACGGAGGGAGAGGTAGGTCAGCTGCAAGGCTGGCATTGCTGGGGGAGCGGAAGGCGGGCCGGCCAGGGCTCAGTCAGGGCTCCCTGCTCCACCTGGGTTTGTGTCTGGCGCCAGTCTCTGCAGGTGGCATGGCCAAGAGTATGAACCCAGAGCTGGAAATCTTTGAGCCTCAGTTTCCCACCTGCAAAACTGTGCCTGCTCCCTGGGGCTGCTTGAAAACCAGTGAAATAATGTCCTAGGTGTCCAGCTGGGGTCTGCACCTACTGATGTCAGACCTGGGGGGAATCCCCCAGGGCCTCCCAGTGAACCTTGCACACACTGCCAGAAGTGTCCTTTAGATGGCAGCGGGATGACAGGGCAGCCCAGAGCCTGAGGTCGGTCCCTCCAGCAGAGCCTCCTCAGAGGGTCAGCCTGCCCCTCGGCTTGAAGGGGGCAGGTGCTATGGGGCGGGACTCACATTCTCCACATTGATGTTGGCCTTCGCACTGGTCTCCATGAATCTGATTCCATAGTCCAGGGCCAGCTGTGAGGGAGACACACATTTATATCAGCTGCCAGGTGCCCCTGACCACTGCAAAGTGCCCTGGGAGGTGTCCAGGGCTATGGATTTGACCTCCTGGGCTGCTCCTCTGAGTCACCAGTGGGCAGCAGGTGGTGGATGCCCCTGGCAGGAAGCTGCGAAAGCCCACCTGGAATCACAACTCTGTCCTCTGCTGCACGGCCCCGACAGGTTCCAACAAGATGCCACACAGGAGCGCACAGAGCACACCCGGAGAGCTCCGGCTGCCTGCGGCCTTCCCCGGGCACGCCCCCTGGGGTGGGTGACTTGTCTCTGCTCACCTGGCAGAGCAGCGAGTCCCAGGATTTCCCTCAGTACTGGACAAGCCACGACGGGGCAGTTGTCCTATGCGCGTAAAGACCGTGAGGGATTCTCCCCTAAAGCCCAGCCTTTCCATCAGCAAGCAACTGGAGTGCCCTCTAGGGAAGAGCTGGCCTCCCGGCAGGGGTCCCTCTGTCCCGAGGCACCAGGCCTGGGGCGGTCACCATGCCCACCTTTTCTCCCCGCTCCTTGGAAACTTGTCTCTTGTCGTTCACGTCACATTTGTTCCCGAGAATCATCTTTTCGACGTCTGCAGAGGCGTGCTGAGGGGCAGAGAGGCAGGCACAGAGGTGAGAGGCAGGCTCAGCCTGGACTACAGGCCAGTCTGCAGCCGGTCCCCAAGACCAGCGTGGTGGAGTCAGGACTGGCCGGCACAGCCCTGCTCAGTGACAAACAAGCTCAGAGGGGCTGACAGGCCTGTCTCAGGTCACACAGCCAAGGCGCCAGGCCCGAGTCCAGGGTTCTGGCTACCACTCTGACCGAGGGCTCACTTTCTGGCTGCTGAGGACAGCGTCATATAGGCTGTGTCAGTCAGGCTCCTGTGCCAACCTCCTCGGGCTTCTGGCCGGCTCTGGACTATGGGAGGCGGGCAAGGTAGGCTGTTTACCTCTGCTTGTCTCCCTGCTCCTCTCTGTCCTGGGCCTGCTGGACCCCCTCCAGCTTGTTCTCTTTGGGCTCCAGAAATGGCTGTGCCTGGAATGAGTGCTTTGCCATCCACTGGTGTGCCCTTCAATCTGCCCTCACTCCTGAAAATGGCTTCCTCCAACCCTCTCCTGGATCCCTGGTGGAGGTGTCTGGGATTCTGAAGGACTGGGGCATCCAAAAGGACCTACTGGCCAGGGACAGAGAGTTTCCACCAAGACCTGGGTGAGCAGTTCCCCCTCCTCAGCCGCAGCACAGCCTTCTGCAAGCCAGTGCAGGGTCACCAGGGAGGCTGCCCAGCATAGCTGCTCACAAATGCCAGCAGTGCTATGACCTCCAGCCCTGGCTTTATGGTTGTGGGAAGCTCTGGCTGCGCCGGGGACCCGAGGCCCTGCCTGGAGAGGCATCCAAAGCTGCAAGTGCCAATGTCCAGGCAAGCTGTGGGAGTGAGGGCGAGCCCTGCGGGGAGTGGGAAGGTGTTGGTGAATACTGGCTTTGGGTATTCACCCCCATTCCTCTCTCCATGGTCCACGGCCCCTCTACCCAGCCAGCTGCAGCCCGGGTGGTGCTGACCTGAACGGAGGGAGCTTATACGAGCTTGCACCCTGCTCTGCCATACAGTTCAGAGTACAACCTAATGTGCCTTCTCACCACACCCACCAAATACGAAGGTCACGCCAATTCTAGAATCTTCCTTTTCTAGAAAGCACCAAAGGCTCACAGTGGCCGGGAGCTCAGATATCCCTTCTCTCATGATAGCTGCCTGAATCTAACAGCCCAGCTGGGCAAATGGGCTCTCAGGCCAGTGTGCCATCTCTGGGGTCGACAAGTGCGTTCCTTCCAGTCCCCAGAGTCTAGGGTTCTAGGCAGATTACTTCCAGGTGTCTCTGCCTCAGTGATCTCATCTGTAAACCTGGGAGCTCCGGGGTGAGGACTGAGGAGAGGGCACATGGGAAGTTCCCAACGTGGCAGGGGCTGAAATCCTCACCTCCTCAATGTTCCGAATCCAGTTCTGGATGTTGTCGAAGGACTTCTCGTTGGTGATGTCGTAGACCAACATGATGCCCTGACAGGGGGACAGAGACATGCAGTCTGCATAAGCTGCACATTCTCCAAGGGGAGGCCCCAGCAAGGTGGGGTAGTGGGGACCCCAACAGCACACCACTCCCCACAAGCCCCCTTCCTCTCCTCCTGGGGCTTGCCTTCTGCTGGGCTCCAGCACGAGCTTCTCCCTAGTCTCCTAGACTGCAGTCCTGCCCTCTGGGCCACTGAGTGATCCTTTTCTTGGACCAGACCCCCATCCCCCAACACTGCCAGCAGGGTAAGTACAGCCCATGCACCCTGGCAGCCTCCAGGGCCCTGCTGACCTCCCAGCCTTACACCCCAGCACCCACCCTGCTGCTCCTCATGCCCACCCTCTGCTGTGCTCAGCCTCCTCCACACCCTCCCTCACTCCACACCCAGTCTGAGTCACCTCCCAGGCTAAGCCAGTACAGCCTGCCCTGGGGGCCCCAGCCTCACCTGTTGTCCAGTACCCACTATGCACCGGGCACTGCACTGGGATCTTGCTGAAGCCCCACCAGCCCTCGCTGGGTGGGTCCCACCACCCCCACTCTGCACACAGGGGGACCCTGAGGTAGGAGGGTGGCTAGGCCCCCGTCTCTAGTCCCACAGGACAGTCAAGGACATAACTGGCATCTGAACCCTGGGTGGTCTGACCCCAACAGCTACATGCCTTCCAGTGACCCACTGAAGTGGGGGCTGGTTTTGAGCATTGGGCTAGGCAGCACTGGTACCCCCTGGGCTCCACAACCAATGTGTGAGCACCTGGGAGACAGTCCACAGGTCCCTAAGGGCCACAGAGTGACCCCACGATCCCAACCCTGAGGACAAATATCCCTGACTGTTACAATGGAAACAGAGGCACAGAGAAAAGATGAAGGTGAGGCTGACCAGGCAGCAGCCGATGACACCAGCTCTCATTAGGAGTCTCCCTGGGCCCCCGTCAGGACCAAGTCATGGTCAGGGCCACCGTTCCACAGTGTCCCTGCTGCTTGGGACATCACTGAGGGGCACGCATGGCGAGTGCCATGTCTCTTGGGCCCAAAGCCCCAGCTGTCCTTCCCAGCTTGGCCTACTCCATTCGCTCATGCTACCTGCCCAAAGGGCCCAGCTCTGTGTCCATAACCTCTGGTGCTGGCCGTCACTGAGGCCACCTAGTTTGCAAAATACGAACACAGGCTGTGTGCACTAGGTGGATGACCTCCGGGGGCCAGGGTGTATGACAAAATCATGCAGACTGGGCAAAAGAGCCACTGCAATTCCAAATCCCCGCCATGAACCTGAGCATATGCTGTGGCCTCATAGCCTGTCACAACTACAGTCACAGCCAGGACCCCTCAAAATAGCACCTGGGGCCCTCCGTCACTCAGGGTCAGGGGATGGGAGGACTCGGAGGAGCTGTTTGCAGCTGCCACGTCTGCTGCGCTCTCGCTGAGGCCAGCATGAGGAGAAGCCGGCAGGCAGACCCCAAGAGTTGAGCATCATCAGGGCCTCTGCCTAGCAGCTGCCATCAGGGGCAAAAAATGCTGTGGGGCTGTGAGGCCTTTGGCCCGATAACCCAGGGATGGGCCACTCTGATGGCCCAGGATTCCTGCCACTACGTTGAATTCCAAATTCCAAGGTCCTGGATTTGTACTGCTGGCGGGGAGAGATAAAGCTAGCTATCAGGAGTGCAGAAGTATCTGGAAAACCCGGTGGCTCTCCTCCAGGTCCTCCCTCAAACTCCCTTCGGGGCTCCAGGTGACCATCTTCCCAGCCCCCACCTGGGCACAGCTCCCCTCACGATGGGACGACAGACACCCAATGCTCCCCAACCTCCGGACCCCAGGGTCCAGTACCACAGGGAAAGAGGGATGAAAGTGGGCTGCAATGGTGGCAGTGTTCTCTGTCCTGTCCCGGGCAGTCACTGCTGGCCACACGTAGCTCAGGGGCACCTGAAATGTGGCTACTGCAATTGAAGGGCTGGATTTACTACTGTAACCCACAGAGATTCACACAGCCACGTGCAGCTCGCATGCGTACGGTTCAGCACGGGTCTAGGAGGACCACAGCCACAATCATCTTGGGGCTGGCTGAGGATGTGTGTGCTGGGGATAGCCAACGAGCACCGGCCCAGCCTTGTACCCTCTGCACAACAGGCACAGACTCGTGCCAGGCCTCAGGTCCCTCATCTGTCGGATGGGGGTAACCATGGCATCCATGCTCCAGGGTTTATGGTCAAGATCTGGGCCTGGTGCCTGGCAAAGGGAGGGGCTCAGTGAATGGGGCTGTGGGGGGCAGTTTTGGCCCTGAGAGGGATGGGGCCTATCCAAGGCCACGCAGCTGAAGCTCCCCCAAGCCCCAGGCCCTTGCCAGGAGAGGGGAAAATTAGTAAATAAATTTTAATGAGGAGTGCTAAGGTTGCAACTCACGTGATTGAGTTTCTCTTAGGTTTCAGATGCTGTGTGGGATGCTTTAAATACTTAATGCCTCCATTATTTCTGCTGTCCACGAGGATTTCCTAAGCTCCCCACCACAGGCCCAGTATGGTGCCAGGCACAGGGCATTTGACAGTGACCAGGACATGGCCCGTTCCACAGAGCTTATGGTCTAGCTAAGGAAACAGGCACCTATACAGTTAAATGGTGGGGTGTGCCATGGAAAGGGCAGGTGCAATGGCAACTGGAAATGCGGAGATGGCCATCTAGCCTCATGCCTGCGAACAACATAGTCCTATTCTCTTCCTCAGCAAGGAGACAGGGCTCACAGGGTGACCTGGCGCGACCCAGGGTATGGAGTGAGGCCCCAGGGGTCTTCCTCCCGCTCCCTCTAGCCCCTGGCCCTTCCCAAGTCTCCCTTCGATTGTAGTTTAGGCCTGGCCTGGAGAAGGTACTTGGCAGAAATATTTGTGAGATAACCAGCATGTCTTCCCGTCACGGCAGACCAACTCAGGGCCAGGCAGCAAGTGTAACAGCCGAGAGCCCAGAGCAAGTCAGCTCCTGGACACCCTCTGAGTTTGGGGCAGCAAATTCCAGAGGCTGACACATGCCACAGGAACGCAGGGAAGTGCTGGGGCATGCCCTGTCTGATTTCAGGTACCTCACCTGGCAGAAGCGGCTTCCTCTGCCCTCCTTCATTCCCAAAGAAATAGGTTTCCTCAAACCCTGCCTCATCTCTGAAGCAGAAGGGGATATATGTACATGGAGCTGGGGTGGGGCACACAGCCTTTCTCTAAAACTAACCTGGGACAAGGAACCAGAGCAGGGGTCCCCATAAATAGCCAAGTCTCAGTATGCGAGGTAGTGATGCTCATTTTTTTGACCCAAAAACAAAAACAAGCCCCAGTCCATACCATCGCGCCCCTGTAGTAGGCTGTTGTGATCGTCCGGAAGCGTTCCTGACCAGCTGTGTCCCTAAACACAAGGAGAAGGGATATTAGGGAGGCAGATGGTGAGCGACCGTCACAGTGGGAATGATGGGCATTTACTGGGGATGGACGCCCCGTTTTCTCCTCATTCACTGCCCTGCTACGCTGAGCACCCTGTGTCCCCCCTCATCTTACAGAGGATGACGCCTTGGCGGGAAGGAGGTGAGGACCTGCCGCCGCCCCCAGGTCGGGATGTGGCAAGGCCACGACTCCCTGAGGCCTCTTCTGAACCACCGCTTCCTGGGGAATCTCCCCAGGGTTTCCGGGTCACAGAAGAGCCAAGGTTGGGTGTTACTTGTAAAAATTCAGGGCCGTGTACAATGTGGAAGGGATGGCTCATGGGGCCGGGGACATGGGAACACAGCCCTTGCTGGTGAGCATAGCCAGGAGGCCTCAGCTAGGGATCCGGAAGCACTTCCATGCTGCCATCGTGGTGGAGGTGGCAGTGGTGGTGGTGGGGCCAGTTCTTCACAAAGGTGAGAGGTGACAGTGAGGTAGACAAGCCCCCCGTCCAGCACAGCAGGTATTCAGTGTTTGGTTTAAAGGTGACTTAACTGCTATCAATGGCAGAGGCAGGGCAAGACCCAAGTCTTCTGCCTCTGGGCCCAGGGCTCCTCCTGTGATCTCTCCCACCCTCTGCCCCAGGGCTCTGCTTGTGTGGACTGTACAGAAGCACCTCACTGGGGACCAAGCTGACATTCTGATGCCAATAGCAGGCAGCACTTGTGGTCATGAACAGTCATCTCATCCTCAACTGTGGCCCTGGTCCAGGAGAGTTTTAAGAAAGTCACGAACCTCACTGAGATTACTAAGAGCAGAAGCAGGAACATGGGAGGGAAGGAAAGCGAAACCTCTGCTCGCTGGGCCAGGGCCGCTTTGGACTTGGGTCCTGAGGCTGCCAGGGAGCAAGGTGGTGGGAGTAGAGGAACTTCTACGGCCTGTAACTTATGAGGTGGCCAGTGACTGCTGACTACCAATCCACAAGGAGTTAGGCCTCACCCAGACTTCGATTCTGGGGTCAGATTCAGAGGTGAATGCTACTGAATCCAAGGCCGAGGGGACCCACCAGGCAAGCCCACCAGGCAAGCAGGTCAGCGCTCATGCTCTGAAATTTGAGTAGGGGAGTCAAGCTGCAGGGAGGGTGTCTCTCTCTCACCCACAGGTGCCAGCCAGACATGACTTCTCTTTATTCTGCTCAGGGCTCCTGCTCCCCTGCAAGTGATGTGGTGGCAAGGTGGGTCTCCCCACCGTCTGACCACCCAGCCTCAGCCCTCCCAGTGCAGTGGCTTCAGGCCACAGTTGGTGTTAGTGGAGGGGGACTCACAACTCTAGTTTCGTGTGGCATGGGAAGTCAGTCCCCGGAGGGTGGAATGGAGATGGTCTCACCGATGGGCCTGGCCTCAGCCTATTTTTGGTTTTGGGGTTTCAGGTGTGTGTGCTAGGAAGTGAGGCCTGGGCCTCCCCGGGAGAGAAAAAGGGAAGTGAAAACTGGCCTTCTTCAGCGAGTCGACAGGCTCAAAAGGGAATGCCGGGCTGGGGCATTTCACTGTTCCTGGCAGCCTTCACTGCTGCCAGGCCCAGAGGCTCTCTCCAAGTCCAACGGAAGCACACAGCTCTGAAGACCAGACCTGGCTGTGCCTGCAGTGGAATGCTGCACTAACCGGGACTGGCAGCTATACCCCCAGAGGGTGCCGACACAGAACCTAGGCACCAGCAGCCAGCAGAGCACAGTTCCTGGCGCTTCTGAAGACAGCCTGATGGGTCCTGCTGGGTACAAAGAGACAGAAGCCATGGTCACAGGGAGGGGGAGGGACTGATGAAGACAATGACTTACCATATCTGTAGTTTAATTCTCTTGCCATCAAGTTCTATGGTCCTAATTTTAAAGTCAATTCCTGAAAGAAAATTAAAAAGAAAAAGGCATATCACTGAGTGCCCATTTCCCAAGCTGCACCTGAGGCAGGCACTGCCAACCTGTACAGCTGACAACACCACAGGTCATGGCTTATGGAGCACCTGCCTGGCTCTGGGCATGCGGGGTCTTGGACTCCCAGACAACAAACCGGGAGCCAACTGGAGAACTTTCTCCTCTCAAAGAAGGGGAAGCGGAGGCTCAGAGGGCAGACGGGGGCTGCCCAGAGTGCAGCCGGCAGGCGGCAGGGCTGGCTCTCTTCCCTGCCCTCAGCCCCTGGCAGACCGGAGCCCCAGGCTCCCCTGCACCAGGCCTTCCAGGCACACAGGGCCCCGGGCCCCACGACGCTGGAGCTTTTGCACATGCTGTTCCCTCTCTACAGTGGGGCCCACCCCACCGCCTGTCAGCCCAGCATACCTCTCCCTGTCCTTGAACCCAAAACACCCACCTTCCAGTGGTTCCCCACCACCCCTTAGGCCCCAGAATGAAGTGAGCAGTTCGCTCCAAGGTCCTGGCTGGCGGGAACACCCACTCCTGCCACCCTCTCTGACCAAATGGCTGCTGCTTAAACATCCTAGGCACGCTCCTGCGTCGGGGCTTTTGTGCTTGCTCTTCCCTCTCTCGGAATGTTCTTTCCTTCCATGGCCACTTGGCTTCCTCCTCCCGTCACTTCTGGGCTCTGGTAAAGTCCCCTCCTCCGGGGAGCCTTCCTGACCATCCTCATTCTTCTCCTCTTCTCTGCTTCTCCTTCTTCATGTACTTATCCCTGACATTGTACACTTGTTTACTTGCTCCGTGAATTTAGGAATAAAACTTGCCACTCTGAATGGCCTGTGTGGAGGGGAAATAGCCAAACCCAGCCAGACTCCATTGAGTCTGTTCTAAAGCTCCACCTGCGAAGCCAAGGTTGAAGCCTGACTTGACCCCCCGGAACGCATGATGGGGTGCCAATTTCATCCCTGCCTGCCTCATGAGCCATCCTGGGGCCCACAGGGAATAGAAGCCTGCACCTGCATTTTGCCTGGGAGACCATGAACTCCAAGAGGGCAGGGACTCAGACACCTTTCTCACAGCCGCATCTCCAGGGACTCAGCATGGCAGAGCCTGTGTCTGCTAGAAGCCGACTGCCCAGTCCTGCACACACACCTGGACCTCAGGCCTTGTTACATTTCTGCTTCCCTCTGATTCATCTGCATGCAGTAGGCATTGGGGAAAGATAGCTGGATGACATAATTGAGAGCAAGAGTGTCTATGTGGTGCTGTGCAGTTTATGAAGTCCTTCCACAAACATCCTCTGTCTCCATGAAGGAATGAACAAACGGGGCCCTGCGGGGGCAGCAGGGATGAGCCTGGCGGGGGAGACCCAATTCTGGGAGCCACAGGGCCAAGTTCACACCGCAAGTGATTGATGGCATTTATGAAGACAGGTTTTGGCAAAACGAAACCTGGGCAGAAAATGAACAGCCACTTAATCCCTGATCTATAAAGAAAACCCAGAGGTACACTCAGTGCCAATAGAGTGCCTTCATGCAGTAAGTAGTATTTCAGGACTAAGTGGCCTGGCGTTGTCTCTTCCTAAAACATCCCCACCTCCTGTTGCACATGTGCAGGGCCTTATGAAACCAGAAGCACTGTTTAATCAGCAGAGCCACACATCACTCTGTCTAGTCCTCCTCCTGGGTTTTAGTAACACACCAAATTTAATTAGGAAGTGTAAACTTTACGAGGCCTAAGAGTTATGAGGAGGCAAACTTCAAGGACAGGGCGACTTAAACTTTCCTAGAAGACAGAGGCATGAAAGAAGGCTACACATTTAATAAGAACACCAGAGAGGGAGGGAGGGATTTTAGGTTCAAGTGCCACCTCCAGCTGCCTAGGTGACATTCGTCTAAGTCACGTTTTTGTCTGCAAGTGGAACTCTGAAGTGGTAGATTGGGTTTTCTGGTTAAGAATTAGAAACCAAACAAAAAAACCAACCCCTGAATTGATCTCACTAGGGCCTGTACTGAACAGGAAGCTTCCATTGCTGGGAAACTGAGGTCGTATTGAGAGCGAGCCACAGCCTGCCAGGTTTCTGATTGGTGGGGATGCAAGGGTTATCCCGAAGTTTGACCCTGGAAGAGGAGAAGAAATCAAAAACACCTGTGCCCAGGGGTGGGAGGTCGTCACTACAGGAGCCGTGTTGCTTCCTCAGGACAGCCTCTGGCAGTGGTGACAGGCCCATCTTCACTGTACACTTCTGAACCTCAGCCAACCAGTGGCCAAGGCAGAACGCATCACCCCTAAACTGAAGACAACGGGGCTCAGAGAGGTGAAGTGCTTGTTCAAGGGCAAACAGCAGGAGGGAACCAGGCATGGTGATTTCCAGTCCAACTCCCTCTACTCTGCACCTGGCACCTAATTGTAAGGTGCTGCTCCTGGAGGAGACAAGGATGGAATCAGCCGCTTATCACGGGATTCCGGGAGTTTAGGTGACTGGGTTTCAGTTTGGGTAAAACAAAGCCAGTTTCCTAGATTTTCCCCATTTGTAATCAACCTCTGGGCTCAGTGACCATGCTCCTGCTTCTCTGCTCCAGAGGCAGCGTGCAAGGAAGTGTGCTAGGCTGCACAGCTCACTCACATGCCACCGCATTGAACGGTGTTCCTTCCAGGTCAATCCTTTCCATGTGAATGGCTATTTTTGTGGCATGGGAAAAAGTCAGCTCCACTTTTGTGGACACCAGAACTGAGAAGCAACAAGCCAATTCTGTTCAACCACAACGTGGGCTGGCTCTGTGGGAAAGGCTGTTTTGTGAAGTGACAACTGGTGTCCTGGGCCTCCAGATAGGGAAGTCAAGGCTGTCTGTGGCAGTAGCTGATTTTGGTTTCTCCCTGAAGGTTTTATCTGGCATCTCCTTGGGGATGACAGGTCCCAGGACAGGCAGCTGTCACTCATCACTGTCACCCTCCAGTGGGATGGAAAGCTGGGCAGGGAAAGGCTCCAGAGTCCTGCCTACCATTCCTTCCACAGGAAATTCACTCTTGGGGGAAACAGGGTCAGGGAGAGGAGCTTATGCCCTGAACATTCCAGAGCAAAGAGCAGGAGAGGTCTGGGTGTGGAGTCCTGGCTCAGAGGAGAATCATCTGTGCTTGTCCTGCGGTAAGTGCTCGCCTCTCTCTCGGATGGTCGAGCCTTGAGTTTTGGGGTCAAACATGGATTCAGGTCCCATCTTTGCCACCTGCAGACTGTGTGATTTTAGCCGAGTCCTGCGCCTCAAATCCCTCAGTTGTAAGATGGGCTCATAACGGCACCCGACGTAAAGGACTGGAGAGCGTGCCCGCACACATTAAAGTGCCTGGCACAAAGAAGATGCTTCATAAGGTCAGATGTCAGGGGTCTTTTCCTACGGCCACCTCCCCGTGCCTCAGTGTCACTGCTGTAAGACGAGGACCCCACAGAACAGCTCCGGGCTGCTGTGAGAGCAGAATGAGACGACGGGCGCCAAGACTTCAGGACATAGACCCCCCTGATGAACCGAAGGATTGGGGCCTCAGTCTCCCCATCTGCAAATGGGTGCGTGGTCCCCCTCCACGGCCCAAGAACCCCCGAACGGAGGTGCGGGCGGCCGCCCTTCTCCCCTCCGGCCCCCTTGGCCCTCTCAGACCCCTGGGAACCCCTGGGTCCGTCCGGCGCGGCCTCTCCCTCTGCCCCAGCCCCTCAGAGGCGCGCCCGTTCACTCCCCGGCCCCTCTACCTATGGTGGAGATGAAGGTGGAGTTGAAGGCGTCCTCGGAGAAGCGGAACAGGACACAGGTCTTCCCCACCCCCGAGTCCCCGATCAACAGCAGCTTGAACAGGTAATCATAGGTCTTCGCCATATTACACTCTCCCAGACGGGAAGTGCGGCCAGCGCCTCGCCACTGGCAACCGTCCCCGTCCATCAGCACCGAGCCCGCCCCCCAGCGGCTCCCGGCCCGCCGCGCGTCACCGCGGCCTACGCCCTCCCCCGCGCCCGCCCTTCGCGGGAGACCTGGGGAAAGGGGTGAGCAGGGCAGGGAGCCGGAAGCGGCCCTAGTGCGCCGCTCATTGGCCAGTGTTCGGGACTGGGCGGCCTGCGATTGGCCAGCCATGAGGAGTCGCGGTGCTTCAAACGGGGGACCAGGGCGGGGGCGTGGCATCACGTAACCGCCTTCTTCTACAACTCCGGGGCGGCCCCGCCCCGCGATGGGAGTGGAGGAGGGGAGCACCGCCAACAGCTCTGCGCGCCCGCAGCCCGGAGGCGGAGCTTGGGACGCGTGCGCAAGGGCGCCGCGGAGACCGGCGGCGGCAGCGGGCGTACGCACTTGGCGTTCTCTGGCTCCCGCCCTCCTGGCCCTTGCAGCCGCAGTAGGCACCGCGACGAGCGCGGGAAGGGACAGCGGCGGCGGTCACGGTGCAGTGCGGAGGCCTTCGCGTCTGCCCCGGGGACCCGAAGTAGGAAGTCGCAGCGAAGCCCCCTCAAGGCGCTGGCCAGAGACCCCTACTTAGCGATGCCCGGGTCCCCGCCGCCTGAGCCGTGTCAAAGCAACAAGCTGCGCCCTGAGGCCCCCTGGCACTCCTCAGGGACGCGCCCGCGGACCTTAGAGGTCGTCCAGTTCTAACCCCGGGGCCTCGCGCACCCCGGCCCAGGCAGCCCTCTGGAGCGTGTTTGGGGGGCCGCGGCGGGCGGCAGAACCGCCGAGGTCGTAAGACCAGTGAGAATTGCTTCTCTGCCTGCCTGTGTTGTCAACACTTGGAAAAGTATATATTACGTCCCCTCGCCCAGCCCCCATTTTATGGCGAGAACACCGAGACCGGAGCGGCGAAGGGACTTTGCCAGAGTCCAAAGTGGGAGAAGGTGGTTTCGAACTCAGACCCGCGAACTCCAACGACCAAGGTCTTGGCGGCTGTGGTTTCCCGTTTCTCAGAGCTGGGCCCGGGAGCCTTGCAGAAGATGGGCCCCCTCCTCCTTCCTTCCACCTGTTAGGCAGGAAAATAGATATGAGCGGGGTGGAAAGAGAAAAAGGCCAGAAAAGTCTACTAAAAAGACCCAAAATTAATCAATTAAAGCTCAAAAAGCCAGGAGCAACTTGGCCTGGAATGTTTGAATATTCCCCAGATAAAGAAGGGTACCTCAGCAGAGCCCATGTCTTCATTGTGTTAATCATGCAGGCCCAGCTGTAAACAACATAGTGAAAGGCAGGAAAGATTCCATCTTAAAGATTGTATTTTAATGCCCAGGAAGTTAAAAATGTAAGATCCTTAACTTACTCTCTAGCAGACAGACAATAACTCAGCCCACCTTGGGGGCTGGGCAGGCAAGCTGTTTGATTCGCTCCCAGACCAAGACGCGGGTATCCCAGGGAGAAAGCCGCAGGAAGTTCCTTGTGTAAGTTCTAAGTATTCAAAGAACACTTAAGTCTGCACTCCCAGCCCTTGGACACATTCCTAAAGAATCCTTAAAAGGAAGAACCCCCAACCTTTCGGGTCGCTCATCTCTCTGAGGTCGCCTGCACTTTCTAAGTGGGTAACCTTTTAATCAACTTACTCCAACCTTTCAGGGCGCCTCTCCTTGCTGAGGTTGCCTGCTGCACTTCTTCCCTTTGGTAACTAAATAAAACTTTTACTCTTCTTCACTACTGTGTCTCTGACCTTCAATTCTTTGTCGCGGCGGGGGCAAGAACGGAGGAAAACACACAACGCTCCCCCAACACACCTCGTCCCCTTCTGCCGATGCAGCGCTGCTGAGGAGCAGCTGAACCAGAGCCAGCAGCCACCTCCTAGGTTCAGCCCCTGCGGCCTTTGGTGCTACGGGCTGTCTGTGCCTGCGATGCTTTTTCACTCGGGACCTTCTCCCTTTTATTCGCCTGTTTCTTCTACCGCCTACGCCTCCCCTTCTTCAGGTTCTGCTGGTCAGGTGCCGTTGCAGCCCTTCAGGGGGTCTCTCTGCGCATCTCTTGCAAGTCAAGTGTTCCTCACGGCTTTTGCCCTCTCGGTTTGCACTTGGAGGGTGATCCCTCTCGACACCAGTGATTCTCAGTTCTTGAAAAATCGATAGCCCGGCCATGCTGCCATGTCCAACTGCTTTCTCGGTGTCTGCCTGTGGATTTACCCAAAATACTTCAAACTTAACATGTCCAGCCCGAACTGGCCATCCACTCACATTAGCCTACCTTGAGTTACTCTGCCAGTGAAACCTATGTGGACTTTCGTTCCTTCTTAGAAGGTTCTGAGTAGCACTTGAATTTTGCTCTTCTAATTCTGTTGTGGTCAGATTGTCCCATCTCTCCATGGGGCTCCCAGATCACTCACACCGATTCCACCCTGCGGTGCGCACATTCTGAAACACCTAATATCCATGGACGGCCTGTCAGCAGGATGAAGTCCTCAGTCTGGTCTTGACCTTACCCTGCCTTCCACCACACTTCCTGCAACTGGAAACTCCCGAGCTGAGGCAGGTCATTTTCACGAACAGAACACTTATACTAAGTGCTGAAGTATCCTGAGATTAGACTACAGCCCGAGGCGGTGCGGAGGGAGGAGGCACTGCAGTGTAGCACTGGTAGAGCACTCCGGGCAGGGGGCTATACTTCAGACATTCCCTGCAGCTACGATCTAAATAGGCTCCGTGTTGGCTAAACGTTGAGATCATAGGAAGGAAATGTTTTCAACTGTATTGGTAACAAAGTTATTTGCATGCTGTGCTAATGTTTTGAAAACTTTCATTTCTCTTTGATTCCCGACCCTACTTCCTCAATATCAGATTTTGAGGCAAACATCAAGCAATTCAGGTAATGAAACTGCCGTCATCTTTGACACTTTCTCCTTTAAATTCCCTGCTATCCAAGTCAGCTAGATCTTCAGATTACTTCCTCAGACTTCTTATTCCACTGCAAGCACTATCCTGGATTGCATAAAACATCTTCCTAACTGGTCTCCCTGCCTCTAGTCTACCCCCAGCCTAGTCCTTCCTGAAACAAATGCTAAGTGAATTTTCCTAATATGTTTGTTGGATTTATTGCTTAGTCTTCAGTGGCTCTCCACCCCTGACCAAATGAAATTCAGGCTATCAACAATATGGGCCCAGCTTTAATGTCCTTCTTTATATATGTGACACACAGAAAGCCTTATGCAGGGAGATGTATGCTTTCCTAACTCAAGCAACAGTGACAACCTGCTCCTATTTTGTCTATTAAAATCATATGTATTCTTCACAGCCTGGCTCAGGCTGGACTGGAGATAACAAAGGACAGGAGCTTTTGAGTTACTGAAGCAAAGTGCTCTCACCTGCCTGACATCATAATCCTCAAGTCATGGTATAAAGCAAATAAATAATTGCTAATTACCTTGGCAGTTATCTTTCCTTTCCATCCACTTAACATTCATTGAACCAGAATGCCTTATATGTCCCAAACACACTTTCACACCAATTCACGCAAATTGTAGTTTATTTAAAAATTTATTTGACCAAAATGTAGAAAAGTGATACTATTACATATGATACAGTTGCAAGAATTTAAACGAAAAGTGTGGGTCTTACTCAGTTGCACACTTTGCTAGTGTATCTCCTGGGTAGTGTGATGCTTAATAAATAGGAGTGAGGGGCAGAGAATTTGGATAAGCTAGAAGCAGGGTGATTTTTACTCAGAATTGTAAACTTGAGTTGGCCCCCCATACCGCTGGGGAATGTGGAATGTTTTCAGCTCTGAGATGTTAACTGAGAAAGCAGAAATGTAACAGAGCCAAACGTGCAGGCCCGTGTACAAAATACTCCAAATCCAGTTTAAGCAGGAGTTTTCTTGGTCTTTTATAAATGTGGTCCCGAAGAAGGAGTGAAAGTCCTAGATAAGTAAATCTTCAATTTGCCATTCCCTGAAGTATAGAGATGAAGCTAGGCCAATTACTTTTTTAATCTCTACTCTGCTGTCAGGCCCCTTCTGCCTGGTATTTGTGAATCAAAAAACACTTTTGCTCAATTCTTGATGGCTATTTATTATTGACAGCAGTCTTTTTCACATAGCTTCTCTGAATAGGACTGAATTTTACCATATTCATTCCTGCTGAGTGGATGGCCTCCTATCAGAGCAGACAAGCATTGGTCATTAGTGGAATAAGACATCTGCTCCTCAGAGAACTACTTTAGAATGAAAGAAACATGTAAAAGAACATAATATCAAGGATCTATCCAGAAAATATGTGATCTATTATTACGACTGTTTCCCAAGCATTCTCATGCTGACTGCTCAGAGATGGTCTGTTCGGCATGGTGGAGTGTGGGAAAGAGCCTGGATGACTAGGTTAATCTATGTGTGGTTTCTGACTTCCCACAATAGCCCTTTTTTTTTTGTTCTGGTTGGCAAATCCCCACCCATTTTAATGTGATGGTCCCTGGCCTCCTATTGTGGGACCGACAGCGGCCCAGAGTATATGTGCCAGCCTTTTAAACTGACCCATTACTAGATATTGGCACCTGTGTTCTTGAAAGTGTGAGGTGGTCTATTCTCCCAGGAACCAAATGCCGTCAGGCCTGAGAGAGTGTGCTCAGTATGAAATACCCTGCCTACCTTAGGGATAAATGCAATTTAAGGATAAAAATAGAGCTGAGAAAGCTGGTGCCACTTGAAGAAAAGGA